ACAAAAGCACAAAAGTGCACAAAATAAGAAGAGGGAGATATCGACGGCACCCTTGTCCTGAGCGAGGACGCGAGGAGGCATCTAGCTGCAGTAGTCTGTCTCTGTCGTCTGCAACCATCGGAATTGCAACCCCACAAGCTTTTTAGCTTTTTATTACTCCTCAATGACGTTACGAGATATACCGTATGTCGGTACGGAGTAAGAAGTCAACAAAAGAGAACCTGGGTGACTGTTTTGAGTTGTGGGCCACAGAACGTGCAGTTCATGCTGGTTTTATTGTCGCGTTGTCGATTGTGACCAAAAAGAAGAAAGGCGAGGGAAGAGAGAAACATACATGATACTGGTACGTACTACGATGTACGAGCACTGGACGCCCCGTGTTAAATGTTCATATCGCGCAGCTTACGATTGCTAGTTATTCCATGCGGGCACAAACGGACATCCAATACAGAATGTATCATGGCGTATTGGTGGGTGCTTGCTCACTGGCAAGACATTTTACATCGGCGACCTATCCCAGTACCGTGGTCCTGTCCAACCTTTTGACATGCACAACTACACACCCATTTACAAGGCAGCGAGTGTTGCTTCCATCTTTTCAGAAAATTATTAGACAGTCGTTACCCAAGTTCCTAACAGACGTACCGAGTCTTTAACGTCGTAATACCAAGTTGAGAACCGAGTCTGCCTGTATGTATCTTTCCAAGAGCCATCTGCTAACCCAGGACATCTTGTCACTCAGAATGTCGAGCTCTTGAGCGCGATACTTTAGTTATGTGACTGGACGGTGGTTTGTTACAATTTCGGCCCGGTTTGTTCTTACGTCTTTTGCTTTTCGTCACTGGATGCCATTTCGATCGACCTGGTCTAAAGTAGAATATGTCTCCAATGCATGAATGTCGTACCAAGTTCTCTGGAAGTGCAAAAACGGTCGCATTTTCGCGTCCTAATGATGCCGACCTTGTTGTACCCCCAATCTCTCAGATCAGCTCAGCTTCGCACACATAGCGAACTGAGAACCTTGCACTTGCAGCGGTATACTGTCGATCGACGCACCACTGCCATTTTTTGGCCGGCTTGGTGTCTCCGTCTTTCGGTGAGCAGTCTGCTACCCCCTCTGCTGCCATTGGTTCCATTTGTCGACACAAGTGTAGAAGGCGTGCTTTCGTACGCATTGTACGGATTTCGTGTTCGCATCATTCTACGTGTTCTCCCTCGACAATTCTTGTGCCTGACTTCCCTCCCTTCATCTGATCTTATCGTGTCCACTCTGCCACCCGCGTATCTGCAGGAAAAACCACACCCCTTGCTGCCCTGGCTCTACGAGCGTGGTCCAAAGCCGCTTCCGCTCATGGTAATAATGGGAGGACTTGGCTTTTCCACTGTGTCTGCTGGAGCTCTTTGGAGTAGGTATTGGTGCCTTTAATTTTGGCATTTCTTACCTGGGGATGTCCACTGTAAAAATTATATCTTTAGCGCATTTAGAGCGTTGGGATGCCTGTAATACCTGGGCTTGATTGTGGTACTTTTTTTAAAAAAAAAAAAAAAAAAAAAAAAATACGACAAGAAGAACAAAGGCAGGCAAAGTATGCACAAAATTTGTCATAGTTGAAATACATGTCCCGGCCTGGAGCTAGGAACCCCTCCACTACGAACGCAACGGCAGCAGGGTCTTTAAAAGTAACGTGTGAACGTGTCAAGCATGCGTGTGACTGCCATAGCGCCATTTTTCCGTTTGCCTTGTCCGTCCGTTTAGGGCAGTTTAGGGCCTTAAGCGCACTCTTAGGGTGGTGTTAGAGAGATGTTAGAGGTGAGACGGTGCCGAATTGAGGCATAGTTCTTCGGTCTCCCAGGCGCGGACGGCCCTTCCGCGCAACGCATTACCATCAACCGTTACAGGGGGAGCGGGGGTTAATTGACGGAAGGCTTCACAGCACTCAGCAGTATCATCCTCCCAAGGTATATGATAACAAAGGAAAGACGAAACGAGGAAGGCAGGCACACGAGACAGGTTCGTTCAACCTGCTTGAAGACATAGTCTAGATCGAACCCGCGTGGCGGTGCGACTTGATGACCATAACATACCTGCAACAAGACATTGACAAGACAAGAGACATTGCCCTGACCGGCTGTTCGGAGCACTACAAAAATGCTCCCACCACGTCGTGTCGGTGGTCGAAATACGAGTCCAGCAAACCAGAGAGGGTCCGTCGTGGTAGTAGATGGTTGTCAAAGTCAGACGGATCTTTCAGTGGTCACCTTCACTGCAACGTCAATTTAATTAACTGCAAAATAAAGCCGCTAAAACGCTGCCTGCAGTGGAAACAACGTGCGCACATGTACTTACTGCACCTTTCGTTTTATTTTCCGCTTTGCCACGCGGCAATCAATGTGAGTAAGGACTTCCGCTCTTAGCAGCCCTCTAACTCGCGCCCAACACGGCCAAGTACTGCCAGCGTATCGTTCATTTACAAAAATCGACCACGGAGCATCTTTCCCCCTCCCCACGGTCACGACACCCGCTCATTTGCATGCACGAGCTTGACAGCCATAGTCCTTTGTGCTATGATGCGCGGTGCTGCGATTGTCTTTCCATAAGACACGATGCTTTTAATTGTTGTACTTGACCGGTACTTTTTTGGCATTGTGAACTGCGACTCGTCCTAACAAGGGGCCGAAAGACGCTGCTAACAGTACCGATGCCGTTCAATCACGTGGCAAACCATTATGCACATTCTGGTTGGTGGTTGTCGCTCGTTTTGTCATAAATGCACACAATACCGGAGCGTTGTGGGTATTTCCTGTTTGGCCCTTCCCTTTTCAGTCTTTCCCATCTTATCCCATGCGCCGCGGCATTGGACCCTCTTTTTACCGAGTCGTTTTGCTCGCTATTCGCAGTGCCATCCTGCCACCCTCCTATTCTTTCAGGCCATTCGGGCCCATTCTCCCCTCCTTGGCGGCGCTGCACCCCCCTTTTCTTGGTTCCCTGTCGGAGGCAGAGGCGAGCGCAAAAAACGTGCTGGCCCTCCATCTCTACGAAATAGCGGCGGCCGGATGGTCCCACTTTTCTCTTTCGGGTCCCCTCTTTCCTCATTCCCGTTCACATTTACCACTGGTTCTTGCGTTTTTGGTTGTTTTGCCATGCTTGTCCGGGGCTAGGCCGCTCCGTTTTGCACGTTGCGCCTGCAGTGCTCTGTATAAATCCCCATGCAGCCATTGATCCATTGAGCCCAGAGCCATTGAGTAAATGGAGTCTTACCGTCCTCGCAGGTACCGTCCGAACCTCGTGCCCCAATGCAACTCCTGCATATTGCCATGGCACTGCTAAATGTCCTCTCCCACATGTGCGTCGGGGTGCATTGCAGGGCGCACTGTCGAGGATCGCCTTTTTCTCGTCATTTCTATGGTGCCCGATCTATTGTCCATGCGCTTCTCCGTTGACCATTGTAAATGGTGCGTCCCCATCTCGAACGCAGACAACCAACCACCAACAATGGCAGGCCCGACAGCAAACATGCAAATCTCCATTGCTGGCCGGCTGTGAGCAGTTCTGCAATTCTACAATTGCATCGTTTTTGCACCTATTGAGTAAATTGGCCCTGGCCAGACCAGTCCCCGAAGCCCTCGTCCATCGCTCTTTCCCCTCCTCGCTCAATGCTGGAAATCTCCACTCCATGGACATCGCACACCACCCCCCCCCCCCCGTCAAAGAACACGCCCACGCCCACGCCCACGCCAACCCACCCTTCACGCTTCTTGCCTGGTCTGCCATGCGCTGCGTCCGGGGACCGAATGGTTCGCTAGATTAACTTCCCTCCTTCCCTTTTGCTCTTTCGTTGGGTTATTGTGCTATTGCACCTGCCTTTTGTCCTTCGTGCTTGCTATTTTCCATCGCATGGACTCGCACCGTTCCCCAGTCCTCGTCTTTTTTGTATTCTTCCATTCTTTTCAAGACCCAGTTCCATTCTGGCCGATCTCAGCCCTCTTCGCCATTGTCAACTCAGTTCTCTCAACACTGACTTGTGACTGGAGCTGACCTTCCCCGGTCCGTTTTATTCTTTATTAGCTCTCTGGTTTCTTCTCCTCTCCCACTCTCCCCTCCTTTCTCTCTACCTCAACCTCATCCTACTTCTTTTCTTCCCTCCTTTTCTTCCCACTCGTTTTGTTTGTCGGATCCCTTGACCTCTTCTTCGGCATTGTTTCCAACATCTACTCTCTTCTTTTGCATTCGGCTCTCTCTCCTTACATCTCGTCGAGTGCTACAACGTCACAACGTCCAACGCCGCCGTCTTGGTCCGGTGTCGTCTTTCTGTCGTATCGAACCCCGACTTCGCTTCGCCTTATCTGACAGCAAACCGCCCCTCGCGATCCCATTGCGCCTCGTGGTTTTACACATCTGCAACCTCTCGCGACTTGGCACACTATTTCCTTGTACATTCTGCTTCTCTTTGATTCCCCACCCGAGACTCGACCCATTTGACGCGGCCCCCTGCTTGTGACATTGTGTGCGCTGTGTTTTCGACACACAACATCTACACACTCACACACGCCCCTCTTCTGGCAATTCGATTTGCGCTAGACCTAGGCGTTCTAAGCGAATCTCTCTTCCAGTTTCCTTACTTTTGCTTCGTATTCCTTGTGCTACCGCTACCACCGCGTGTACTTGTGAAGAAGACTCCCGAGAAGCAGAGACAACGGGAAGAAAGTGGACTCGGCAACCGAAAATTCGACTGCCCCAAAAAAAAAAAAACCGACATATCGAGGTACCTTGCACCGTGCCTGAGAGTGCCTTTTCGCCTCACCTGCAATTTTCAATCAATCTATCCTGTCTATATCGTCCAGGAACCATATATCTATGAGGCCTCGCGCTCACCACCAGTGACAGCCAAGTTCCCAATCTCGTCTTCAAACAGCGGCAGAAGAAAGAAAACTCAGGAAACGCCCCAACTGCGACTCGTTGCTTGCCACGATCGCCACATCATCTCGACCTCCCGAAAGACATGGAGCAGCCGGCAGTTGCTACTCAGAAGCCGCCTGCTGGTCTTGCGGGCGTTCTCAACTCTCCCGACGCGAACCGGGACTCGGCATACTATTCCATCACGGATGCTTCAAGCAAACGTTTGTCTTTTCCTTTATTTTTGCAGCCACCAATACCATTTTCTGCCGCTTTTAGTTTCGAGGGGCTTCCAATCGCTAATTTGTACGTTTTCTTAGACACATCTGCAGCGTCTTGTGCTGGCATTAGCTCTGCTGGTCCATCCTCATCTGCCTCACCACACCCGCTCCGTGCAGCCTCCGCCGGCATGGATAAGACACCGTCTCCGACAGCTGCAGCGCACCTCCTGCCTCAGCCTCTGCTCTCGCCGTCGACAAGCAGCATGAGCGTGGCATCTATCGTCTCGCCTACTACACCTAGCAGCGGCGACCTGCGCCGCCTGACCATTGACCGCCCGCAGTCCCTCGAATCGGCACCTAACAGCGCTTCGCTCACCGCCGCCGTCGAGTATGACCACATGTCCCGCCGCGAGAGCGTCGACAGCCGCATCAACCAGGGCATCGGCGACCTGCGCCTCGGCGGCAACTCCCCCTATGCCACCCATAACCACTCGACCACGTCCGTCCATACCAACCACAACAGCTTCCAGGCCCAGCAGCGCCAGCCGCGCACCGGGCTCGACAGCCTCTCTGTGCACCGCATCTCCAATGGCTACCAGCCGAGCGCGGAGCGCAACCCGGACATCCAGAACAAGACTGTGCGCACGGCGCCCGCCATCACAGGACCGGCCATCAGCCAAATTGCGCGCGCCGCCGAGCCCACCAAGGGTCAGGCATGGGCGTTCCCCGAAGAGGAGATCCAGCGCCTGCCGTCGGCCGCCAGCCAGTCCTTCGTCGATTCGCGCCGCAGCAGTGTCGCGGACTCCCTTGCGAGCAGCCAGTTCACCACCGAATCGCGCCTGCCCAATGGCCAGCGGCGCTTTGACGACCCGGTGTCAAGCCGCCTTGGTCCCCACGATGGTCCCAACGATAACATCGACTACCACCAAAGCCAACGCCTGTCGGGCGCCTCCGGCGAGTACCCGACCACACACCACCACGCCCTGCAGCACAAACAGATTGACGACCTCCAGGCCGAGACGGGAAGCTTGCACGCAGGCTCGCAGCCCTACAGCAGAACGCCCGAGCTGCGCATCAGCCACAAGCTCGCTGAACGGAAGCGTCGTACTGAGATGAAGGAGCTTTTCGAGCAGCTTCGTGACCTGATGCCCCAAGAACGGGGATCCAAGGCGTCCAAGTGGGAAATCCTCACCAAGGCCATCACGGAGCACCAGCGCCTGCAAGAGACGGTCCGCTCCGCCACTCTGCACCAGTCGGCCGTCGCCAACGACATCGCTGCCATGAAAAACGAGATGCACGCCCTGCGCATGGAGAACCAGCAGCTCCGCGCCGATATGGCCGCCATGCAAGCCAACGGTGGTGGTGGTGCCACGAACGGCCAGGCACCGCCGGGCATGTCGGACCACTTTGCCAGAGGCCCCGGCCGCGATAACAACCAGCAACTGCCTCCTCTTCGGTCCCTGAGCAGCGGCCTCCCGCCGCCGACGACTCAGGCGCCACCACCGGAGTCCATGACTGGCGTCCAGTATGACCAATCCAGAGTCAACGGTTTCCGCCCGCAGATTGACCGGTTCTGAGCATCGGACCTCGTGACTTTTCTGCGTCGTCCGGCTTCTCTTCCCCAAGGGAACGACAGATTCCCCTTCGGTTCTTTGCTTTTGTATCACCATTGGCGTTGCGAGTGCTTTTTCACATCAGTCTCTCTTCTTCGGATGGTTTGACTATACAACGTTTATCGTTTCTGTCCGACACCCGTTGCACTTCATCTTCTTCATTGTCTTCTTCTGACCGGTGTGGTTATCTCCATTTCTTTCCGTTTGCTCAACATGGCGTTGCCCATTCTTCGATTCATCTACATTCCTGTTTGTTCCTATGTCGGTCAGGATGACCGCCTGGATCTGGTTTTGTTCCTGTTTATTCATAAGTACCCCTTCTGGCGTGTCTCGTGTCTCTTGACTAGCACTCCATTACCGATTTTCATGTCGACCTTTCCATTGTATGTGTCACCTCTTTCTGTTCTTATTCTCTCAAATTCTTGCCGAGTTCCTTCTTGTCTTTTATTTCGTTTTCTACGGAACAACGCATTTATTTCATTATGTACCTTGCGACGGCCGACCGGCGCGCATGTTGTATTGCTGTATATCTGAGGGACGGAAAGGGAACGGATTTCCCGGTTTCGGGCTGGACTCTTCCCTTGGGAAGAAGAAAACAAAAAAGATACCACGCGATTTATGCAAATGAAGCCTATCTTAAAACATTATCGTAAAGGTCTTACTCATTTTGCTGTGTTAACATTTGATTTCAAGTTTGTGATGAAGCCATAGTTTGGCAAGCTGTGAAATCGACAAGACAGACATACTTGTGACTGCTGCCAATCAGTCAATGTCGAATCAAAGCGTCTTGGAAATGCTATTCTCAACGTCAGTAAAAGATGGACGACGTGCCTTCGGCGCTGAAAAAGGAGACTGAGGACGCGGGCGGCCTTAGCGTTGCCAGGGAGAGGTCAGTTAGCTGCCCCAGGCCATTACGGCTATTTTTACGCCGCTACGTTCTAGGCTACGTAGCTCCAGAGGTCCTATTCCACCACACATCACAGATCAGCTTCATACTTAATCGACTTTCGACGCGACTTCTTCTATTACCACCCACGTCCGCGTTCTACCCAGCCCCCTCGGCTCGGGAGCATTGCTACTGTATTCGGAAACCGTCACTCGTTTTCTCATCAACTCTTATCGTTTCGATTTCCTCGATCGCAACCGCTGCCCACCTTTTCCGCATGGACCACGTCTTGACGACTGACACAAGATATTGACGAACCACTGCCCCCGAGAATGCGGCCGCTTGTCCTGCCCCGGAAAGATTTGCGTATCTCTTTTGCGCTGGTGATCTAGAATTGATACTCCGAAACACCTTTTCCTGCGTTCCCCGGGGCCTGTCCCCCCCTCGACTCGCCTCCCATTTCCTCCATATGCTCTTCCGCCCGCGGCTGCTGCGCCATCGGTCGCGCAAATACCAGCGGCCTGTCCTCTGGACGCTGCTGACACTCTTCGCTCTAGATGCCTGGCGCATTCTGCGGAGCCGGGCACCGACAATACGGTCGTCCTTGACCGCAGACACCTCACAAAGCATCGCATCCGGAACGGAAACCACCAAAAAGCCGTCCGTGTTTATAGTGTCCGTTCACCGCAACACGGAGCCCATCTTGCGATCGGCGTGGATCGAGAACCTTGTCCGGCTGGTCGACCACCTCGGCCGCGACAATGTCTACGTGTCGGCCGTCGAATCCGGGTCCCAAGACGACACCAAGGACGCGCTGATGGAACTCAAGGCCCAGCTGGTCGCCCGCGGCGTCGCCCACACCATTGAGCTCGGTACCACCGTCTGGGAGCAGCTCGACGAGCTGTATGCATGGCCCGACCCAGACACGCCCGCCGCCGAGCGGCCGGGTTGGATCTGGGACAGCGAGGAGAAGCACTTTGCGCTCCGGCGGATCCCCTACCTAGCGAACGTGCGCAACCAGGCAATGGCGCCGCTGCTGGCCGAGGCGGCCAAAGGCAGCGGCGGCGGCGGAGGACATGGGCAAGGTCGGCGGTTCGACCGCGTGCTCTGGATCAACGACGTGGCGTTTGATACACAGGACGTCATGACGCTCCTCAACACCCGGGGCGGCCACTACGCGGCAGCTTGTGCCATGGATTTCAAAGAGTACCCCTTGTACTACGACACCTTTGCGCTGCGGGACGCCGACGGCGACAAGGCCGTGTCGCCGCGCTGGCCGTGGTTCCGGTCCAGCGAGGCACGTGCCGACGTGCGCGCCGGCCGCCCCGTGCGCGTGCAGTCGTGCTGGAACGGCATGGTCGCCTTTGACGCGCAGCCGTTTTACGACACGACCGCCAACACGAACGCCCATGCTCGCGGCCACACACACGCCACTGCGGGCGGCGGCGATACCACCCACACGCCCGTGCCGCTCCGCTTCCGCGGCGTTGACGACAGCCTCGCCGAGTTCCATCTTGAGGGCAGCGAGTGCTGCCTGATCCACGCCGACAACCCGCAGTCGCGCTTTGCCGACGTTCCCTCGTCGAACGCCCGCCACCGCCACAAGGGGGCCGACGCGGACGCAGACGCAGACGCCGGCAAAAACATCGGCGTCTGGCTCAATCCCAACGTCCGCGTGGCGTACAGCCTATCGGTCTACAAGCAGGTGCGGACCGCCGTATTCCCGGGCCGGTTCGCGGCCGTCCATGGGGCGTGGGCGAACCGGCTGGAGCGCGCGCGGAGCCACGTGCAGTTTGCCCTCGAGGGCCAGACGGTGCTGAACCGGCTGCGGCGGTGGCGGGCAGAGACCCCTGCAGGCGCGCCGCCGCGCAACGAGCCTGGTGCGGTCTGCCTGATTAACGAAATGCAGATCATGTGGCAAAACGGGTGGAAGCACTTGTGAGGTAGAAGACAAAAGGAGTTTTAAGGGAATGGGCGTTTGTTTGCTATTTTCTGTTTGTTTGCATCGTACTGCGTATATGCATTACATGAACTTCCTGTTTTTTTATTCGCATATGTATACTATCCAAAAACGTGACGCGAGTATCCTGTCGCGCGAGGATTAAGGTTGCAAAGCAAATGATGAAAAAAGAAAAGCCGCCGCGGCCGCCATCCCATCTAGAGCATGACAAGATGATAAATACAGACAAACAAAATGAAAAGAAAAAAAGGATTAACCCGTCTAAACGCCAGTGTCCCTCTCCGTGTAAAATGATATATGCACAGGATGATGCAAGGGAAAAAAGGGGACGCGCAGATACAGTGCGTATGCAACGTAATATACAGCTGACAGAAGGAAGAGCAGGATATACCGCGACCGGCGAGACCCTCGTGTGCAAGCTGAGCCCAAGACCAAGCCGGGTCAACAAAGTCGGCACCCTGGATGGTACCGTACCTATCGTACCGCCGACGCCGCAGTTTACTTGTTGTGCCAGAGCAATGTCCGTAGGCTGTCCCAGTGGTCGCTCTGCACGTAAATGTAACTCATGCTGTTGCGCAGGCTGGACTGGATCTCGGCGTCGTGGTAGCGGAAGAGGTGCATCACCATGGCCCAGCTGCCGGCAGCAAAGGCGGGCCATGCATAGTAGCTGATGGTTTGCGACAGCGGCGGCTGCGACACCAGCGGCAGGCCGACACCCGGCTTGACCGCGAGCTTAGCCAAGGCCAGGACCACGCGCGCAAACACGTAGATGACAATCTGCATGTTGATGGAGCTGATCTTACCAGACCGCTTGGACCGGCCGCCGAAGACAATGTAGCCGCCGAGCAGACCGCCGATGAAGCTGTCGTATGTGCCTGGGAGAATGTTAGTCCTACGATCGTTTTGTCGTTCTGGTCTAGTCCACGGCCCAACCGCCGCAACAGAGAAACGCACCCTCCTTGCCGTCGGCGAGGTACTTTAATACCATGCGCGTCGTCTTGTATATAATAGCAAAGCGGGCCAGGTTGCTGGCATGGTGTTTTGTCGCACGGAGGACGAGGGAGACCTTTTCGCGCACACTAGAGAGGACAAGGCTGTTAGTTGGGGACGCCGAGGGATAGACACAGCGGGACGACGAGACCAAAATGTGGACGTACGTTCCGGACCGGAAGAGGAAGACCATCCTAAAGAAAGAAGCATAACTGTTAGCAGAGGCGTTTTTGTTTTCCGGCAACCATGTGGGCATACGGTCATCGTTCCGGGCGAACGGCGACAATGCAGACGTGGTCCGCCGAGCATCAAGGGGACAAAACGGAGGGAGCTCGTACACAAGCGCATGCGGGAAGCGCACTTTGGCGCCGTAGACTGCGCCATTGCGCGCGCCCTTGACGATGGCGAGGAGGTCGTGGTACTTGGGGTCGAGCACGATCTGCTCGGCGACGGCCTGGACGACAACGAAGCCACACCGTTAGCAATGTGCATGAGCGGGTCGCAGGTCACAGTCTCGGCCATTCAAAGCCGCTCTGGCTGCGTACGCCACAAAATGGACGGTTGTCTTCCTACCTTGAGGCCGTCGAGTGTGCTGGCAAGCTGCGATGGGACAGACATGACGAGAGGTGTAGGAGAGGTGACGAGGGATGACGAAGAGACGAAGGTGTAGATGGAACCGCCGGCTGCAGTTGCGCGGCGATTGATGCGCAACCAAAAAGCTCGGCAAAAGTGAAATGCGACGAGAAGGACGAGGCAGTCAAAATGTCGTGATGGTAGGGAGAAAGGAGAGCGGTCGAATCAAGAGGAATTCGATGTAAGTGTTTCTGTTAGGATGTGGGTTTGTCGCCCATTTGTCCACAAAAAGGAATATGACAAAAGGGTTACGAGAGCGTTGGTACAGAAGAGTGAGCGACAGGCAAAAGGCAAGAAAAGAAGCGATGACGGCAATGTGTTCGGCTGCATTGAAGCTCGGCTTGTGACTTTCCCCTACGCCTACTGACTACACTCTCCAGGCGACTATGCCCAGAACAGGTTGGCTGAGCGCATGCTGGAGTGGGTAAGGAAGGAGCGAAAAGTGGAGTTGTTTGGGATGCTCTGGTAGCGTGTCCAGGTGCTTCCCTGCCGTATTTGGGTGTGCTTTCCCCGCGTGCAGCGGACTCCAGGGACGAATTAGGCGGGTAAGTTGCCCCCGCGATTCAGTATCCCGACATGTGAAAGCGCAGCCAAGGGCGGTCTCGTATCTTACGGCAAGAGCGAACTGCGAATGAAAACCGCCAGTCATCAACAAGTGGAGCACAGCGCAGTCAAATCGCTGGGAACAGCCCTAAGACAAAGGAAGATGTGTAGACAAAGCGACTACCCTCTGGCCTTGGTAAAAGACGTAAGCAAACAGGACCGACCAAAAAGAAACGAACATTGGAAAGAGAGTCTTTATTGCAGCGCAAAAGTACTCTGCATTACTGTCTTGAAAGGTGTTCGTTTCGCTGGCAATGCTGGCCTGCGTTCCGGTTCTCTCTTCTAGAAGCAATCACATGCAATTATGTCGCATAAAATTGTCGTTCGTGCTTTCCCTTGAACGTTTCCTGTCCTATCGATTTGGCAGGTCTGCCCCTCGCGGCGAAACGTGACGGGCAGGAGCGATAGGCACAACGTCATTTGGTCGTCTTGGAAGTCCAACTTAGAAAGCCTTAGAAAAGGGGCTTGCGCAAAGGGAAGTTACGACCGTTGGGCGCGCTTGACGATCACATCCATCACTTCAAAAACCGAGCACGTTGTCCAGTAAATTAAACACAAGCCAAAAAGCCCCATCTCGCCTCCCTATCAATCACACCTGTACAAAGGACTGTCAGTTCCAACAACTGCAATCAGACACGGCGGTGATGGTCCGGTCAGAGTCTTGCTTTACGATGAGAACAACGGATGGCCAAATAAGCAGGCCGCGAGGCCGTAGGCACGGTTCTTCAGCGAACGCCAACTTCTTTAAGATCTGAAGAGCTGCCGGATCGTGCGGACCAATCTCTTCGTTTGAGAGGATGCAGCCGGCATAAGCGTCTACCATATCCAGAATCCTTCCACGGCACAACAGGGCTGCACAGCCTTTTTCAGATTGTCGACATTCTGCCAGATACAGGTAGACGGCGAAGTGCACTGTAAGTATTTTTGCGGTCGGGTCATGGGCGAGGCTGAATTATTAGGCCAGCCGCACATCACATCGAGAAATGGTCACCTGCGGTACAGATTAATACGGGGTCACTGAGATGGCAGAGTAAGGCTAACCGCCAACAAAAAGCACAGTCACGTTTCCACGCTATCTGATAGCACATGGTTGGCCAGGCTCATGGCACCGCGTCTTGGCTCTTTTCGAGTGCTCGGGAGCACTACTGGCTCCTCCCGCACACCCCGGAGTATTCGCGGAAAACAAGGCTCAGACAGCTGTGCACGACCAGTCCTCCCGCTCTTCAACTCCGCGCACCTGGCACAAGTCGAAACAATGGCGCTCATGCTCGAGTCGGCACGAAACCAGAAAGCAAGTGCATACTTTGAGTGGGCACTTTCCACAAAGCCGGACTCTTTTTCCCTCTACCTAGCAAAACGCCACAAGTCCGAAAGGCAGAGCAAAATGGGGAGGGAGAGGGTCTAGATTCACTCCTCACAGCTGCCTGTGACATTGTGGCGTCCGTCGTGGAGATGGGCAATGTCTGCAGCCGCCATTCCGCAATTTCTTCAAGAAGCGCATCTTGGAGTCAGTTTCTCTTACGTACAGACTCCTTGACACTCCGTACGTGCACGACACTTTGCTTCAAAAGATTGATAAGGAGGTGTGTACAGTGAGAAATGCGGAGCAATGCTGTCTACGACTACGACGTCCAGCTCTCCTGTTAAGTTACCTGCGCATTTTGCAGGCTGCCTCTGTTCCCCCAACCTCTTCGCAATATGTACCCACTCACCCCTTCCTTTCCTTTCAGCCCGTGTGGCCTACCCCCTCTCTTTGAACCCTTGTTGCTTCTCTGCCAACTCTCTGGCCCGCTGCGGCGTGAGTGCGCGGGAGCAGGCAGTGAGGCCAACGGCAGGTCAGATTGGGGGGTGACGGCTGTCAGCCAATAGTCTACCAATAGTACCGTTTGGAGAAGAACTTGAGGCTGAAGGTCAGGGAAGAGAGTCAGTCTAAAACGAAGGACCAAGTTACGGGGCTTTCCCTTTCGATTTTATTTACAACAGGTTCGTCCCATCGCCGGTCTGTTCTTCTTTCTCCATAATTTACACTTCCATCCTTTCGTCTAGTGCCCGCTGCCAAGGACGACGTCGTGGACTCCTGTGCATCTCGTTCTCCAGCATACCTATCGCGTGACGACGTGTTGGTCATTGCTACCAGTTTGCTTGTCGCCACTCTCAGTCTTCTTTTCTTGACTGAATCCTCGACTGTGTCGTTCAGCTGCGGCACTCTGTCTCTGTCTGTTACTTCCACCGCGGCCACATCGCGCCAATTTAACGTTTCACGCGAGCAGCCTTTCTCCACAGATAAGGAACGGCCATATTAACGACGGTCTTCCCCTGTGCTTGTCACATCCCGGCGTATATTGTGCGAGTAACCCTACAGTTTCCACCTCTGAACCACGACATTTCAGACCTTGGTGTTGCAGGACAATGGCATCTGCAGCCCAGCCTCCGCCATGAGACTCCAAGCCCTGCAACCGCCAACATGGCCAGTGCATCTCTGTGCGGTCCTCGGTTTGTTTGTGCACAGGTCGGCCGCTGGCATGAACTTTACCGGCAAAACTCTCACAGACGTATTTTGGCAGCTTGAATATGTAAACACACCACCAAACGGCAACCCGTTACTGGGCGGACAAAACTTCACGACATGTTGCCTGAAGGCCATCAACGAAGCCATTGAGATCGGGCCCAACGGCGGACTACAATTTGTCAGTCAGTTTGAAAACTGGATCGTCTTCGACGAGGGCGACGAGCAGCCCTTGGACTTGCTGGTCAATTATTCGCTGCGCGGTCAGTTTCCCTGCACGGCCGTCTACAATGGCGATGCGCGTGGTGCACCCGTTGTCCAAGTCAACTACACCTGGCTCGCGGACACCTGTCCGGGCTGGGAAATTAGCAGTAAGGACAACTTGAATGCCTGGCTGCAACCGCTGTCGGGCTTTCTCGTCCCCGCGGTCATCTTTTGCCTGTCCGTCCCTCGCCGCCGCAAGCTGGAAGTGCCGCGCTTCCTCTTCTCGCCCGACCAGGGCGGCATCAAGAGCTACCTCCTCGCCCCCTTAGGCGCCACTCTCGCGTTGGTCATGGTCTCACTCGACACGCTGGTTTGGCTGTGTATCTGTTTCGGTTTTGCCGGGCCCATGATTCTGAGCGGATTGTACGAAGCCATGCTCGACAACTCCGTGCTCGAGTACCTGCGGTTGAAAGTTGACGAAAGCCGCCTCACCCTCGACATGCGGTGCCGCTGCCTCATGGTGATCCTCATCGGCAACCTCGACCTTGTCTGGAACACAGAGGACCCGGACGGAAATGGGGGCTATGTCGACGGCGGGACCCATGGTGGCAGCTACATTAGCGATGCCGCAGATGATGGCGACGCGGAGGACGAGCACCTCCACTATACTGGGCGCGGGAGTGCGGTTGGCAGTTTTGACGACCGTCCTCCACGTGGAAACTCGGCCGAGATACCGTTGATGCCTCTCCGTGGAAGCGGTGCCTACCAATCCATCCCAAGCGGCGAACAATCATCACCGTCACCTGCCGGCGCACCACTCTACGGCCGGTACGACCAACCTGGGGTGCCCGTTCCAAATGCGCCGTATGCTCCGTACTCTTCTTCTTACCCGTATCCACCATACGCGTCTGGTCCATCCGGCACCAATGGCTCTCCATCTCCCTCTCGTGCCTCCCTGTCACCACGCGGTCCGGCCCCAGCACTTCCAGCTTCTTCGAATGCAGCCGCAGTTGCCATTGCTCCGATGCCGTCCGCGGTCCAGCAGTTCAACCCCATAGAAAGTGCCGCTTCCCACGGCTCCGCTCTCCCTACTGGTCAGGGTATTTGGCAACCACCAAACAATAGTGGCAGCCAAAGTCGTCTTGATGCCAATGGAGCTGACCAAAATACGGCCATTGGTGCGGTACAAGTCGTTGTACCACCGCCTCCGCCCCCAATTTCGCGCACAGCGGAGAACGAAGACGTATTACTTGCTGACGAGAGCCACGGGGGCTCTATTATTCCTGGTCTTTTCATCTCACCAGCGTCGGCCGGCCCCGACCCCAGGCCCGTGCCAGACTTTTCGGGCCAACAGCAATATCAGCATCAACAGCCGCAGCACCAATCGTACATGGGTGCTGTACCTGGCTTTCCTCCAGATCATGCCGATCCAAACCAGCCTGTGGCCTATGGCGTTCCTTCTGGTGCAGCGTCCCCTGGTGCCCCATCAACACCAGTCCAGCATCTCTCTGCACCGGCACATGGCACCGTCGGCACGCCGTTTGCCAGCTCGGGCTTTGTTGCCGCCGGTGTGGTTGCGGCAGGCGTCGGTGTCGGTGTCAGTCACGATGCCAACCGCCGGCTGCTCGTGAATCACCAAAATGGCGGTCCTCTCGCGTCACCATGGCAGCACATGGAGGAATTCCTGTACTCTCTTCGCATATACAACGACGACTTCCCGACGCGCCAGCACTCACCGCGCCAGTATGCCAAGCACAGTGACTGTCCAGACGGCATCAACTGCCACAACGATCTGCACAACGAGCCGCCAATTCCCCGCACGCCCGAAACGGAGCGGCTGATCCACCAAGTGAAAACACGGCTCAAGACCATGTTGCACTGTCAATACTCGTTTGGATCGGTGATAGGTGCACCGGTCGTCTTCTTCCTTGGCGGCTTTATTTTTGCCCTGCTCCAGAGCTTAGATGCGCTGGGAGATGAGGACATTGCCGAGGGACTGGCCTTTGGCCAATGGTACATGACGATCCCGCACATTGCCATTATCTCAGGTCTGTTGTTGGCGGGCAACAACCCTAATATTCTGGAAGGCGTCCTGGCTGTTGAGCGCAAGTACCGCCAGGACAACATCACCATTTTTGGTCTAACGTACGGACTGGCCTACCCGTCATGCTACAAGGTCGCTTCGCTGTGGGACCGCGGCTATAACAAGAAGCAGTGGCTCAACACGCTCATTGCTACCTACCTTGTGCGCTCCAATGCCGTCTACAGTGGCAACGAAGACTATGACAAGGACATTGTTGATCTGAAAAAGAAGACTACCCTCTCCCTGTCGGATTGGTCGTTCCTCCTGGCCCTAACATTAATGTTGCTGGGACTTCCCTACATCCTCGCCTTCCTCACGGCCTACTTTACACCCGAAATCGGTTTGTCGTGTCGATCCCTCACCTTTACCATCTACATCCTTGTTCAAATATCACGTACGTCTCTCCCAGCTGCCCAGCTGCCCAGCCGCCCAGATGTGCTTTTGTGTTAACGAACGCTACTAACAAAAAAAAAAACAGAAATCATCCTCTGGCTATGGGCGTATGCCGGACCCCTTTCTGTCTTCAACGTCGACAAGCCGGGCTTCTTTTCCATTGGTGGCTGGCTGGACAAACGTGGTTTCTATGAGCCCTATTCGGTGCGTTGGCTGGTGGACCGCGGCCAGGTGGTGCCTCGGAACCCATTCAAGCTGCTGCGTCTCGTGTGGAACGATCCGGGCCGGCTCGTCAACTGGCGCTTTATTTGGAACTCTGTCTATTACACCAGCCAGTGGCTTTTGGGCTTTATTGGCATCACGGCAGCAATCGGTGGCACCGCCATGCAGCTTATGGGCGTCTACTCGGCCGACATTTGCTACGTCACGACGGCCTACTGGTTCGCGCCGCTCGAGGAGAGGCCAGCACCCATCATTTCCGTCAATTCGGCCCTTATGATCCGGGAGTCTGAGCGTGCGTTGTCCCGTTTTTGTCACCCTTATGGAAAAATGCCTCCTTGCTAACACACTTTCAGTCATGTGGAAGCCATGTGCCATCACGGCCATTGTTTTCATGAGCGTCGTCAGTTTCGTCGGATGGTGGTACCAGCGCCGGATGCGTGACCTTTTCCAAGACCGTATGTTTCCATACTACTGTGCATTCCGTCTCGTTATTATTTTTATTGGTTTACAAGACATCACATCTGACACAAAACCAAGAGGTCCGCAGGATCGACCAGAACGAGCGTCGCGATACCCGCGCGTCCCGTCCCGACCGTGGCCGCGTTCGACCGCGTGTCACGTCCGGTGCGCCCCTGACAATCCGAACATTGACGCCGTCGATCCCCTCGGCTATGCCAGCCAGTGTACCCCGAGACATGGCCGGTGCATCGGCCGTGACGACCGGCTACGGCGGTTACGGCCGTTCGTACGGATCACTCCGCGCCCAGAATAGTGTGGCCTTGATGTCTGGTGCCCAGCCACCCCCCACCTCAGCGGTAATGGCAGGAGCGTCATCGTCGATATCATCTACACAGGGCGGTGGAGTCCGGCCCATATCGACGGCAACAGGATCCGGGACAGGAAGCATGGGCGGACGAACACCGTCTCCAGTTGGGCCCGGCAGTATTGGGAACGTGCCGGACGGTGGCAGTAATCAGTCCACGGCCACCCCATCTGCCACACATTCCTTCTCTGGTCCCTCTGGGGCATCTGGCCCAAATAACAGTCTTGATGCTGCAGCGGCCGGTCCTTCACGGAGGACTCCCTACCGGAGAACACCCTCACCAAACGAGCCTCTGGCAGAGGCGGACGAGCCTCCTATTTAAAGCAGTTTCGTAGCATATATTGTACCACTTGCCGTATAAATACCACAAACCGTATAATTGTAACTGAAATCGTCGTGAATCTACTTCCAATGAAAAAACAATGTCTGTGAGACGGTTATATGCTTACATAATCAAGTGGGGCTCTTTGCCCGAATTTGGGCTAGCGCCATCCGGATGAGCTCGTCCTGCCTGCGAGCGGCTTGTGGAGTGAGCTACTGGCCATTGAAATTTTCGCTTTTTGCCGTCTTAGTTTTTCTAGGGTGCTGTTTTTTTACCTCCTTTTTGCTAGCCGTGTTCCCAACCACGCGATCTGTTCCATTTCTATCAGAACATCGTTTTATCGTCAACGTCTTTTTTTTCTCACGCTCGATATACCTGTTTGCACCCTTTGCAGCATCTTCGGCTCGACGTTACCTTTAGCTCCGTCGCTTCTTTTGTTCTATTTTTCTCACGCCCCCCTAAATCGGCACAATGTAAGACTTTGGTCCTCCCAATAACCTCTTCATATCCTGAGATGCAATCGCCGAGCAATTGAGACTAACCCCCTATCTTCTTCCCTTGCTCTAGGCAGTCCGTTCGTCGCGCTGTTCTGCGGTCCGCCGCCTCCGCCTCGGCCCAGGTCGTGCGCTCCACGTCGACCTCCTCCACTCCCCTTGTCCGCTCCGTGGCCGCCAAGGCTGTGCGCATGCCCGTCAACAACCTGGCCCTGGCCGCCCGCTACTTCTCCCAGACTGCCCGCGTCGCCGAAGAGGCTGAGCAGCCGACAAGCGATTCGGTCCCGGCTGCGGCTAGTGTGGGCGAGACCAACGTCGAGGCCCAGGATCCGACCCCCTACGGCATCTTCATCCGCAACGTTGTTTTCGACGCCAGCGACGCCAATCTGCGGGAGGCCTTTGAGCACTACGGTCCCATCAACTCCACCTTTATTGCCCGCGATCCCCGCGGCATGAGCAAGGGCTTCGGCTTTGTCTACTTCGAGAACGCCGAAGCCCAGGCCAAGGCCCTCGAGGAGGCCAACGGCTCGTTCTGGCACGGCCGCCGCCTCAGCGTCCAGCCGCGCCAGAGGCGCCAGCTGCACCAGGCCGACCCCAACCGGCCCCCGCGCGCCGACGACCGGCCCCTGCGCGAACCCTCCAACTGCCTCTACATTGGCAACCTGCCCTACGAGACCACCGACGCCGACCTGACTGTCACCTTCCGCGACGTCGACGGCCTCCAGGCCGTGCGCGTCGCCGTCGACCGCGCCACTGGCTGGCCGCGCGGCTTCGCCCACGCTGATTTCGATTCGATCGAGAGCGCCAAGGCCGCCTACGAGTACCTCAAGGACAAGCAGGTCGGCAGCCGGACGCTGCGCATCGACTATGCCTCGCCGACCAAGTACTTCTCAAAGAGGAACAGCAGCGAGAGCCAGGAGGAGGCCGTTTCGGAAGCGACCAACTAGGAGAGCAAAGGAAACGAGAACGTAGCGCAAGACGGGCGCGTGTCTTGCACGTTGATGGACATGATACACGGAAAAGGGGGCCATGGAGCAAGATCACAAACGTGGGGAAGAAGGGGTGGAAACGAAATCCGACTAGGTCTCTTACTTTGGCCACGAGGGTAAAGGGAGTGCTATGGGGGCCAGAAATGATATGAAACAGGCTTGGACACCACACAAAAGGAACTCGTCACTCCCCGAGGATGGATAAAATACATTGGTGCGCCGGCGGGCGGTGTTGACTCGGTTATGCTTGGAGAAGGCGCAGACGTATTTTTTATATGTCCTGCCTCTTTTCGTTTTGTCTTGTATTGCCAATTCCCGCGTAAAAGACAGATGAACGCGCTCGGCGCAGTGTATATTAGTTTATAGCAAAACAAGATGAAATGACATCTCTCTACTATTTTTAATCTAAAGCAGGCGGACTTTGATACCGCAGTTGAAGCGTGTTTGGTATTTGCGAATGCGATGCTGGCATCTCTGTGAGCATATGGTGTCTCGAGACTTTCTGTGCTCTCTCCCTGAATCCCGAAACCTGTCGTCATAGTCGACCCGAGCTGCTTTTTGTCTTCTATTTTCTTTGGTCTATACTTTGAATATAATTCCAATACATAATCATGCGTGTTAACCCAAACTCCGTCCAGTTGACTTGGTATTTCGAATGTATTTCCACCCAACGTCGGTTTTACTCCTTCTTGGCCGTGGCCCGGCTGTTCGCTGCGAGGCGCTGTATGTATTGTCTTAGCAGAGAGCATGTCATGAATTGGGAGGAAAGGTAAAATACAACATACGACAAGATTCCGCAGAAGAACAGCAATCGTCACCTTGCCGACCGACGGCACGTAGATGGACGCCTTCTCCTTGACGGCGGGACCATCAAAGTTGCGAAACGACGAAAAGTTGATGCACACGGCACCGTCGCGCAGCAGCTCCGTCGGCACCTTGAAGCCCTCGGCCGGCACGCCACCAATGACAACGTCCGACAGCGGCAGGCACTGCTCCAGACCAAACTCGGGGCCCTTGTCCAGCACCTGATGGCGCGGTTGGCGGATGCCCTTGCCGCGCGTAAACACCTGCGTGCCCGTCAGGTCCACCGAGTAGACCGTGGCGCCGTCGTTGGCGAGCAGCGCCGCCAGCGGGCGCCCGTTGACCTCGGAGCGGTTGATCACGGTAATGGTCTTGCCATAGAGGCGGTTGCCGTAGGGGATGACAGTGTTGTAGACGTGCAGGTGCTCCAGGATCTTGACGACGGCCAGCGGCGTGCAGGGCAGGATGGACTTGAGCTGGTTGGCGGGCGCGTCCAGGAAACGGATGTTGTGGTACATGTTGGACAGGTAGCGGTGGCAGAGGCCCTCGACGTCCTTCTCGAGCGAGACCGTCTCCTGGATGTAGCGGTCGTGCGTCGGGTTGCCCGGGAAGATGGGGTAGTAGACAATGATGCCGTCGACGGCGGCGTCGGAGTTGGCGGCCATGATGGCCTCCTCGAGGGCATCCTTATCGACGCGGTGCAGCTCAAAGGCGAAGCCACTTCAAAAGTTAGACTCTACCAGCATAAAACAAAAACAGTACAACAAAACATGGTCCCTGACTCACTTCTCCTGGCACGTCTTCTGCGACCACTCGGCGTACTTGACGGCAGCCGGGTCGTCGTTGGCCAAAAATGCAGCCAGGCACAGCTGCCGGTCAATGCCATTCTCCTTCAGGAACGTCTCGCGGGTGTCCTGCACCTCGGTCAAGAGGTTCTTGGCGATGCTGTCGGCAAGGATGACCTTGCAGGTCTTTGGGACGTCGGCCATGGTGACGGTCGGGAGGACGTGGGTGGGTATCGAGCTGTTGTAAGTCGTTCGGTTAGCACACAGTATTGCCAATTGAGCAATTGGGTATGCAGCCAGCCAGGAAAGACGGCTGTACGGTGTCGTGCAAGCCATGCCACTCACATGCAAAACGTGAGGCTTTTTGGAGTCGGAATTGGAGAGAATTTGCAGAGTCGGGACGATGACAGCGACGAAACGGTTTTGCGACAGAAAGTCTACAGCGGCAGTCTAGCCAGCAGCGACGGCGACAATGGCGGCAGCAACAGAAGCGAGAAAGGCGAGAAAGGCGGGTTCAGAGTCCGAGAGCATGCCGAACGCATTGTATATCTCGTCGTCTTGTTCCCTTTCGTTTTCCTACAGCAGCGGGAAGAAAGAGCTACAGGGCGCTCAAAAAAAAAATTTAATAACGACGCGGGACAAATAGGCCTAAAATTTTACACTCCAGTGGTGCCTTCCCGTCTGAGCCCGCGCCAGCCCTGGCCGCACCTTCCTCGCTTCACTTTGCGCCGCCAAGATAGTGTGGTCAACAACAATGAGCAAGAATGACCGTCTGCCGGGCCCGACTACGGAGTTTGTAGCGGATTGCACCTGCCAATTTTTTTCTCCGGCTGCTTTTAAAGCTTTTGCTGCCCCTCCCCCACTGACCTTATCGTCTATCAGACATCATTAAGGTACCATTCGTGCATGGTCGCCGCTAAAAGGTACATATAGAGTTCCCAGCGAACCCCGGCCCTGTTGATTGTCAATATGCAAAATCTCGTCATCTCGTAAGCAAAGGCTACGACCTCGCCGCACACGCTTGACTGCCCAGAATACCACGCGAGCAGCCGCGTCCACAGCGTCTTGGGACTGGAAGAATCACAAAGGGACTCCATTCAATCTCGGCACCGTCACGCTCGCCCAACAACGATACCCTGTCTCTCCGTCACAATGGCCGACTTCGCCTCGCTGGCCACCAGCTACGTGCTGGCCGATGCGGAGGACGAGCAGCAGCGGCTGGCCGGCCAAGCCGCTGAGGGTGAGTGATTGGTGTACGAGAGGGTTTTTTTTTAAAAATTAATTGCTGACGTGTGGCCAGCAATCAAGAGCGCACCGCGCAAGAGCGCCGCCGTCCTCGGCTGGGCGCAGTCCATCAACCAGTGGATGCCGAATGGTGATAATGATGCCGACAGCGATGTGATTGTGCGTGCCAAGGGTAGGTGGCATACAGAACTATCCTCTGGCTTCCGTCGAGTATAGATGCTGACGTTGTACAGCTCTCGGTTTCCTTGCCTCCACATTGGAGGTGCTGGATAAGGACGTCCTTCGTGTCGAACAGGGTACGTTTGCGGAGGTTCCATGCGTCTGTTTCATACTTGCCTTTTATTGTCATTGTACTCTTCTGACGCGCCGTCCTTCCCCTAGTCGAACACCTCATTGCATTCTTTGGTGCCTTGTTTGCCATTGACCACAAGGCCGGTGTCCTCGACGCCTCGACGGCCCTGCGCTGCCTCTGCACAATGACGCAGTTTCGGCCGCCAATGGCCAACGCCGTTCTGTCGCACCTCAACAAGCTCGGCGAGGACTTCCGTTTACAAGTGCCGGCAACACGCCGTGCCGTCTACGACCTGATCGCACTCCTGGTGCGCAACGATGCCGCTCTCAAGAGCCTCAGCGAAACCAACGGCGCCAGCGGCCAGTTCCTCATCGACCTCTTGCAGCTGTGCCGCCATGAGCGTGACCCGGACAATCTGCTGCGGTGGTTTGCCATCCTACGGCATGTACTTGATCACTACGGCCCGCCGGCTCTAGCACCCAATGTTGTCGAGGAGGTGTTCAAGGTCGCGTCAGACTACTTCCCCATCTCGATGCGTTCGTCCGCCACAGCCGCCGGCACGACTGTCGACGACCTCAAGACGGCCCTGCGCAGTGTATTTTCAGCCAGCTCGCTTGCAGCGGCGCCCGTTTTTGATTTTCTGCTCCAGAAGATGGACCAGGGCGACGCCCTGACGGTCTCTGTGAAGGTGGACATCCTCAGCACAATCCATGCCTGTATTGCGGCGTTTCCGAACCCGGCGCAGACGGTGGTGCCGCACACAAGCCGCATCTGGAACTCGCTCAAGTACGAGGTGCGTCATGGCGACGTTCCCGAGACGATCGACGGCACGCTGCAAGTGATCCAGGCCATCTCCACGAGGCTATGCCGCGGCCGCAGCAGCGTCAGCGGTAAGGCTCCTGCGGAAGATGCCGCATTTTTGAAAGACTTTGTCGACCTTGTCCTTGCCGACTGCACCAGCGACCTGTCTAACTCGACGTTTACCACGCCCGCTGGCCGCTTGCTCACCAGCACTATGCTGGGCGGCTTTGGCGCGTATAACCTGATGATCAGTTCCGTCATCGGCACAGTGAAGAAGGACCTTCAGCAAGCACAGGCCGCAAATCATACACGGGACTTGGTCGGTGTTCTCAATCTCGTCCTGCGGACGCGCCATAGTCTCATAGTCGCTACTGATGCGGAGGCCCCGACGACTGCTGCCTCCCCCACAGCAACAGAGACTGAGTTCCAAACCCACGACGATGCCCTTGTCGGTCTGCTGGAAAGCGTCTATCTGCGCCTGTGGAACAACACTCTCAAGGACACAGCGGCAGAACCAACATCACAGGAGCCCGTTGTCTTGACCGAAGTGATTCGCGGCCTGGCTGCTCTGATTGCCCAGCGCGGTCCTCGCCCTGCATCACCTTCGTCTTCTTCTACTCCCTCCTCGTCTACCACGGCATCCCGGCCACTGCTGTGCACACACACACAGTGTGAGCGTATTTTCGAAGCGCTCGCGCCGCGGATTCTGGTCCCCTACTCTTCCGCCTCGCAGTCGGGCGCCGCCGACGAGGGCCTGTCGCAGACCGAGTTCCTCACGATTGCCCATGAGGCCATGACGGCGCTCCAGACAGCAACTGCCGTGTACCCTGAAGGGTTTACTTTCCTCGTCGAGCGGACCGTGTCATCCATCGCCGGCAGCCCCAGCGGCCCGATTGCCTCCTACTCGCTCATTGCCCTCTCCTCTTCGGCCGAGTCACTCTCGTCTCTGCGTGACACCCTCTCCCGCGTTGCATATATTGGCTGCTCGACCATCCCGTCTGCTGCTGAAGGCCTCGAGAGGAGCAGCAAGGCGCTTTTCCACTTTTTGACGCTGACACAGGCGCTCTTCACGACCCTGGAGCGTCTTTTGGATGCCAAGGCGTCTTTCCAGGCGACCAACGCTGTTCTGTCCGGCGTCTACGGCGCCGCCCTGAATTTGCGCGACGCCTTCTCGAAGCGCGGTGTCGGTCCCGAAAAGGCAAAGCAGCCGCCAATCGCCTCGTCTGCTGAGCAAACAACACAATCTACGGCAGAATCTGAGACGCTGCAACAGCAGTTCCAAGCATACGTCAGCGAGGCGACGTCCATCGTACGCCGGTTGTACCTGAGAGCAACGGCTGTCGGTGCGGACCAGCAGCTCAACTTGAGCACCGACTTTGAGCATTCAGTCGCCTCGTCGCTTACCCTCGACGACCAGGACGAGTACTTGCACCAGTTGGCTGCGTTTGCGACGTTTGTTGTCCGCGACCTGAGTGAAGAGCAGCAGAAGGAAGCAAAGCTGCATGAGGCTGCCTTTACTCTCTTCCAGTCCGACTGCAAAGGTCAACATTCGTTCTACAACGAGGCACAAGGCGCACGAGCCGATGTCCTGTCCTTGGGTATTCTCAAAGGCCTCTGGCCATCGACGATGGCATCTTTGGTAAGTCACTCAGAAAAAATGGAGAGGGAAAAGCCCCGGATGAGGGACCATCAACTAATAAAAACGCAGGCCGACCTGAACATATCTCCCCTGAACCTCCTGGACGACTTTGATTCACTTGACAAGTTGCCCTCGCGCACCCGCCTGGTCCGCAACACGATTGCCACCGTCGTCACCAACAAGTACTCGGCGGCCGCCAGCGTCGGTGCCAGCAAGGTCCAGTACCCAGGCAACCATGCCGCATGGCAGGCGACGGTGGATGCGGTCAAAGCTAAGCTGGATGGCGGTGCGTCTCTCACACCCCACCGCTTCGCACGCCTCGTCGCTCTTGCCGCCGGCGCCTTTGCACGCCTCGACAAGGATTCCAAGGCGCTCGCCAAGTTATTGGCCTTTGCGCCGGCTCGCCATGCCGAAGAAACCAGCAATGGAAACGATACAAAGGCGGCACAGCAAATGGCCCGCATTGTGGGTGGCCTGCTCGTGTCCGACCGCACCCTCTCCACCGACGACCACGCCGTCGTCAAGTCCATCTACAAGCAGTGGGTGTACGGTCAAACCGTCAAGGCGCTGCTGCCACTGGCGTTTCCCCCACGCAAGGCTACCGTCGAGACCGAGGAGGCAGCCGTAGCCGCCCGTCGTGCCAGCACTGTGCACACCATTGCCATTATGGCACTCGTCCGTGGCATGCCCTTCTCGGTGTACGAGGACGACGTCGCCACGAGTAGCGGCAGCGAATCCCTGGTCCGCGTGCTCGTCGCCGCGGCCACGACGCTCGTGCCGCAGTGGGGCGACGTTGCCGTTGCGCTGCGTGTACTGTCGTCCATTGTGACGGCCAACCGTGCCGATGCCGTCCGCAGCCACCTCAAGACAGTTGTTGACGCATCCATCCGTGTCTTTTCATCCGCCGGCCCAGCGTCCTCCACGTCGTCTTCTGCATCGGCACCGCCACCAACCCCTGCTTCTCGCAAGGAGGCTCTTTTGCTGGTGTCACAGTTGCCGGCACACTACGAAGAGGGTCTGCTGCTGCCGTACGAACCACGGCTGGCACGGGCCTTGGCGGCTGCCTGTGGTGACCGGGTTCGTGAGATCCGTGAGGTTGCCCAAAAGGCTCGTGAAAACTGGGCCAAGGTGGCAGTCTAAGCGATGTATGTAGATACTTTTGGGCATGTTTTTACCCTTCTTTGTTATCTTTTTTGCATCTAAAAGGAGTTGGGTGTGGTAGAGTTTAAATTTACTTTTTTTTGTAGAAAATTCTTACCTTTTTCAAATAATAAAACTAAATACCTGACAGGTTACATCATCCAATAGCATTTAGGTAAAAGCAATAAATAACCGCCTAGTAGATATAAAAAAAGGAAGATATAAGTCGCGGTGTTTTGTGACTATTGAAATTTGGACTACGCTTTGATGAAGCCTAACAAAAAATCTGGAGATGTGATCGGACATAAACATACTTGTGAACCCGTCACAGGATGTTGTTTACAAGAAAAGACATGACCTGCTACTATCCTAGCAACACCTCCCTCGCTTTCACATCCTCATGCCGCCTTGGGCGCTGCCTTTCTGCGCTTACCACTCTTCTTGCCAGCCGTCCCTGTGGCCGTCGCAACGCCAGAGTCGCTCTCGCTTGCGTCGGCAGCTGCTCCGGCTGCCAACATTTCCAGCACGGCCGGACTGTAGGCGGCTTGTGACGAAGTTGCTGGTGCTGGTGCTGGTGCTGCCGACGCTTCCGTAGCAGGGGCAACGCTGGCCACGCGTCTCGGGTCGGCCTGGCCAATGGCCGGGACAGCGGTCGCAAGGACGGCCTGGAAAGGAGCGGCAATGAAGCTGCCGGCGCTGTCGAACCACTCGGAAAATGGGCGGGAGACGGCGATCTTTTGGGCCACAGCCTTGGACTTGGACGTGATGGTGATGTCGACATTGTAGACGGGTGTGTACTTTTCGACGGACGTGGCAATGGTAATCTGGAGGCAGCATTAGCACGAGCATTCGCAATCGCAAGCGCAATCACATTTCCCAAGCGAGCGAAGCGAGGCCAAAAAGGATAAGAGACGTACGGTTTCGCCACTGGGCGACGTGCCGACATAGACGGTGGCGCCCTCGACGTAGCGCGACCAATAGGTCAGGGCGACGTTGAGCGCCATGTAGACGAGGACGGCGAGAGCCGAGTAGTACTTGGTGCTGTCGAAGCCGAGCTTGTAGTCCCACAGGAAACAGGCGACGGCGACAGCCAGGGCGCCGTAGCCGAGGGCAAGGCGCACATCGGTCAGGCGGTGCGACTGGACAAATCGCAGAGAGTTGAGGTAGTTGGGAATGGCATCGTCGGACGTGTTCTTGAGGTCTGCGCAGGATGTTGTTAGCAATGGTTCCTTGGCGGTGGGAAGAGGCTAAAAGCACGTACCCGCCAGATTGTAGACGGAGATCTTTTCTTGCGACATGGCGGCTGTGGGAGTTACGGAAGTGCTGGTGGTTCGCGGTGGTCGAGAATGCCGTCTACCGTTATGTTATGTCGTGGATGGCGATCGCGAACACGTCGGCAGCAATTTGGAGAGATGTGGCTACTTTGATGCGTCGCGGAGAGAGCAGACGGCACAGCTCCAATTGACGCGCCCCACTAATTAGGTTGCTGTACCCGTCGCTGGCGGCTGCCACTTTAGCGTGTCGGCCCCTGCGTGTGGCTCCCACAACGCAAGCCACAGTGGCCTGCCGGTCGCCAATGTCCCCCAATTGCCAAAGCTCCTTTTTCCTGCCTGTTTATAATGTCCAGCGAAACGGGACATATGAACAGCCTCGTCACGAACGTTGCCCGTCCTCCGTCGCCACACCCCAGCGCATCGCCCATCGCTTAGACTCAAGATATTTTCCAAGTTCCCGTTGCCCACCATGTCGCAGGTCCCCGTCCAGTCGATCCCGCGGGATCCCCAGCTTCTGTTCGTCATCCCCTCTCCTTTTTGCTCTCCCCTCTTCCTCGACCTTCAGCACTCTCTTCGTGTCGATGCCGGACCACCTGCTAACTCTTTAGGTACTGGATCCTCTTCCCGATTACCATTGTCATGATCCTCACCGGTGTCCTGCGCCACTACGCCAATGTGCTCATGGCCACGGCGCCCAAAAAGGTCGAGCAGCGCGCTCTCCGCGAACAGCGCTCCATGGTGCACGGCGTCAACGTCCGCACCAACCACCACGTGCTGTCGGGCCGCTCCTTCAACACACGCCGCGACCACCTCGTGGCAGCCTACGAGTCCGGCGCCTACCTCAAGGCGCCCGAGAACCGCGGCCAGGCGCCGCCGAACCCGATGACGGACCCCAACGCCATGGACGGCATGATGGGCATGATGAAGGGCAACATGGCCATGATCATTCCCAACACGCTGATTATGAGCTGGATCAATGCCTTTTTCAGCGGATACGTTATCAGTGCGTTCATTTTTGTGACTTGGTGTTTGGATGCGACCTTTTGATTTTTTCTTTTTATTTTTTTAAAAAAAATCCTTGTGACGGTACACCTGCTAACTATATAGTGAAACTCCCCTTTCCCTTGACTATCAAGTTCAAGAGCATGCTTCAGGCTGGTGTCGCCACGCGGGACATGGACGCGCGCTGGATGTCGAGCATCAGCTGGTACTTCTTGTGCATTTTCGGCCTGCAGTCCGTGTTCAACTTCCTCCTCGGAAACGAGAACGGTATGTGTCTTTCGTGTCTCTTGTGTCTCTTGTGTCTCTCCTGTCTTTTGACGTCCCTTTGTCTTCGTGGTGCCATCCATGTTCCTAACAATGTACAGCCGCCAGCCAAATGGCGCAGCAGATGGGCCAGATGGGGCCCCAGATGCCCCAGATGGGTGCTCCTGGCCAGGACCCGGACAAGCAGTTCCTGGCCGAGGTCGAGAACCTCGCCGTCGTGGAGCACTACTCGGTGCTGGACAACGTGGAGCAGCGGCTGCTCAGCCGAGCCACCAAGGCATAGTAGAACGGACCTCCTGTTGTCTGAAAGAGAACAGGGTAGAGAAAAGATGGTCTATGTACATAGGGAAATGAGAGGATGGAAAATCAGGGATTTGGGGCAACATGGGAAAATCCGGGGCAGAGAGTCGAAGGCCAGAAATATCGCATATAGATCGCCCCCAAAGGAGCTCTTTCACTTTTTTTCTTCTTTTTCTTTTGGACATTCTGCGCATCATCTGGTCCTTGGCTGGTGGCCATGTCTGGTGTGGATGCCAGGCTTCCTGGGTCGCCAGCCGTTGTGGCTCCGTTGTCCGGTCGGCGGTTTCGGGACATCGTCGTGTCGATCGTCTTTTGTGCCCCGGCTCACTCGTCCCACCAGATGCACACGCCGAGACCGGGGTCTTTCATGCTTCCGCGGATGCGATATGGCGGATTGCGGCGTTCGTCAGGCTCCTCACCACGCTCGATAGGCTTCGTGGGCGTCTGGTCGTGCCACTCCTCGTCAATGACGCGGAACCGCACCATTTCGTGGTTGTCGTAGTACATGCGCGTGTCGTCAATGTTCCACACCCACAGCTGCTGGTTCATGTCGCTGTTGGAAGGTGTGAGCAACGATTCTATACGTCCGTCGATCGGACCGGGCGCCCTCGTTGATACGGAAGAGAAACTTACTATTCTGCCTCGTCCGGCAGCTCGTCATAGGGGACAAGGATGTCGTCGAAAAAGTCGGTGCGCACTAGAGGCAGAGTTAGTTGTTGCTGAATCAAGCTGACCACAGCCAAATGGATGGATCCGACATACAGTGAATGCCATTAGGACTGCAGCTGCTGATGCGGGCAAACATCACTTCGCCCTTGAACGGGTGAAAAACGACAAGGCGGAATTCGACTGAGGGCACGCACGTTAGAAGAGGACGGAAGGCAGTCGACGAGAGGCGCTTTTACTTACCATTGACGTTAACGAAGCCGTCACCGTGACCGATGAGGCCTTCTGAGGTCCATAATAGGTCATAGAGGCAGATGCAAAGGCCAATCTTCTGGATCACCTTGTTGGCATACTTGGCATTGATGTTGTCCTCGATGGCATGGATACTCCTTTTGGAGAAGTCGTTTGGGTCTATCCGGACCAAGTCGGCAATTTTTGTCTGAAAAAGGCCAGTCAGTACAAGCGCTCTCTGCCTCTTGCGCTCCCTTCTTCCCGGCTGCATGGGCGTTCCATATTCCAACGTCAATACAAAGCGTAGATCACGGCGTTTACTCACGAGAATAAACATGTCGCCAGGTGTTCTGAGGAGCTGCAGGTGCCTTTGTCTTGATAAACTATGTGTATGTCGATCCGAGATCGTAGAGGCTCCAACTTGTACCAAACTGTCCACTGGGCTCGAGAAAACGGGAAGGTTGTTCAGCAACCAGGCGAGGATATCGTCATTTTCGGAGGGGGACGACAAAAAAACAGTTACAGTGGAGCTATAGCTGCTAAGGCACTATATTTTGGGGTGACGTCCTCGCAATTCTGCCGCGTTATGTAATCCGTCGTTGACCGCCTTTGACGCGTTTCTGCCACAAACGGGACGGACTCGAGACGACAGAATTCCTGTCGGGAACTTTCCGTCCTTCAATCTCGCGATTTGGGTATCTCGCAGCAACGCCCGTTTCCTTGTGGATCCTCGACAGTCACGATCCCATCTCTCGCCCATCTTCAGTCGACGAACTTCCTTCCCTAGAGTTTATTTCATCCCATAATCAGCCAAAGACTTTTCTTCCCTTCGTGGACATCCGGAATCTTCGTTTTTGCCTCGCCAGTTATTTTTGCCTTTGTTCCCTCCTGACTTTTTCCTGACGGCCGTCGAGATCATCGAATCGTCCTCTTCTCATCAACACTCTTTGCTTCTATTCCGTTCGAGTCTTTGGTGTCAGAGCAGTCCTGGTGCCAGTATTCGGGCTCTTTCAGTTGCTACCCCTTTCCAGCACCCGCCACTTCGATTGTCGATCTCACTACTGCACAGCTGCACACTTATTCCATTGACCCGCCCATTTCGTTGGGTGGTAACCGCGTTGCGCAAGACACACAGTCGACTTTGTTTGTCGTATCCGGCGTCATCGAGTCACATGTGGCTAGCCGCCTAATTCATGTGATTCAGACTCCGCATCTCAACGTAGTGTTGAACTCCCTCGGCCATTTTTGTGTGTTTTCTCTACTCTCTTCCGTTTGCGTTTTCTTCTATTCGTTCCTTGCCTCTCCCGCTCTGTCCTTCTCCTAGCACATCGACGATGTCATCCTACGGATACGGTCCTCCGCCGCCGCCACCGTCGTCGTCACAGGCGTCCGGAGGCTACGGACACCAATACCCCTCTACCTACCAGCAAGGCCCGTCCCACAGCGGTCCCTCGCCTCGTGGCGGTCGCGGCGGAGGATACTATGGAGGCCGCGGAGGTGGACATGCAGGACAAGGAGGTGGCAGCGAACATCATGCTCAGCAGGGGTATGGCTATGGATCGCAAGGCCCGCAACAGTACGGCCAGCAGAGCCACTATGGTGCTTCTACTCCACACAGCGCGCCGGCATCCTATGGCGGACCGTCACAACAGCCTCCGTCGCAGCAGCAGCACCAGTGGTCCCACGAACCGTCTGTCCAGCACCATGCACCGCCACCACAAGGATACTACGCACAGCACCCACAGCATGCGCAGCACGCGCCGCAGGGCTACCCTCAGCAGCCCCCTCAGGCCCAGTCGCCTGCCCAGCATCAGGGCTCGTATGGGCAGCAGCCTCCGTACGGACCCCCCAGCGGCCCGGCTTCCTCTCAGACACCGTACAATCACCAGTACCAACAACCGAGCGCTCCCCCTTCGCAGCAGTGGAGCGGGCCTGGCGGACAGAATGGAGGATACAGCGGGCATTATAGCGGCCGAGGCCGTGGAGGAGGTGGTTACCACCATGAGTCTCGGGGTGGCGGATCGAAGGCCCATATGATGGGTCCGCCCATCCGTATTGGTTTTGAGAATGGCGGTTCACAGCACCGCCCGGGTGCCGGATCGCCAGCTCCAGTGAGCAGCGGGGGTTACCAACCACCGCCATATGCGGCCCCGCAAGGAGGAGTACCGCCGCAGCCTCCGTCGGGTCCGTCCGGCTACAATGGTGCCCCGTACCAAAGCTACCCACCAACAGGCCCAGGCGGTCACGGTGGCCCTGTCGGCCCGCCGCAGCACTATGATCCTTACTATAACAACCAGAACAACCGCCACCACCAGCGGGGTGGGTTTCATAACAACTCCCATCGCGGTGGCCGCGGTGGGTTTGCTGACAACAAGATGCGGTACAAAAAGCACAACAGTACCAGTCACGCCGGTGCACCACATACCACCCATCCGCACTCCAACAATCATCAGAAGCCTGATGCTGCCTCGGCTGGCAAGAAGAAGAAGCGTAAGACGAACACACTCGGCCTCACGCCGGGTGAAGAGTCAGACGAAGAAGAAGATGATGAAGAGGCCAAGTTGGTTGAATTGATCGGTCCCGATGCTCCAAAGTAGGCCTCCCTCCCCTTGTTTTTGTTTTCTTTGATCTGTTTTCTATTTTGTTTGCTGCTGAAAAGCCGCACGTGAAGAAAAGGCACAGTGCTTGTCCTTTCTTGGCCTACTGTCTGCTATATTACGTCTCTATTACTATTTTGTCACATACACGTTATTAACAAGACAGCCCGGTCGACATTGCCGCATGGATCGCTGAGCGGCGAAGTAACTTCCCCACCAAGGAACGCGTGAAGGCGAAACTTGCAGGAAACGATGCAGGCAACAGCAAACCAGAGGATGGCGCCAAGGCCGAGTCTGCGGCTGTTGCGTCGCATGGTGCCAAAAGTGTGGCGGGCCTGACGGCCTTGGAGCGCCAGCAGCAAAAGGCGGAGAGACTGCGCAAGCAGCTGGAAAAGGTCGAGTCCAGCATCAAGCGAAAGCGCGAGCAGCAGGATGAGGGTGATGAGATGCGCGATGTGGAGGGCAATGGCGATGGCGCCGACTCGGACGCATCGCTAGACTCCAAGCTTGGATCGGACGATGATGCACCCGAGGCCGTACCCATCCGCACCGAGACGGCAGCGTCTGTGGCTGCAGCAGCAGCGGCGGCCGCGGCCAAAGGCGTGATCCCACCGGCCGCGAAGAAGGCCGATCCCACAAAGCACTGCAAGTACTACTCGACCGGTGGCACGTGTGGCAAAAAGGGCAAGTGCCGCTTTGTGCACGATCCGGCGGTGCGCGAGGCCGCGCTGCAGGAGCGCGAGCGCAACGGCGGGCGTATGACGCTGCGCCAGCGACTCGTGCTCAACGACAAGGACCAGGAGGATCTGACCATCGTCAAGACCCTGCAGTACCTCAAGGAGAAGGGCATGATGTCTGGCGCCAGCGCCCCTCTTGCACAAACCGCAGGGTCCGGCGGTGGCACACCTGGTCCGGGCCAGTCGGGCGCGTCGTCCAAGACGCAGAGTGTCGCACCCACCAGTCCCGGCAAAAGCACCACCAAGCCAGAGTCGGGCGCCGCGAGCTTGCCGGCTGCCCCGTCTCTGGGCAAGAAACACCAGCAGCAGCAGCAACAGCAGCCCCCGCCGCAGCCGGCACAGTCTGACGCCGGCGCTGCTGCGGGATCTGCTTCGTCTGCTCCGACCGTGCGCTATCAAGGCTGGGATCTTAGTGGGTTTGGCAACACTGGCGTGAAGTCGGAGGAGTCTTGAGCGAGCACATAAATTACGTGTATCCTCCGGTTTCTTCGAGGTAGAGGTGCAGTGGCACACTCTTTACCTTTTACGCAGTCCCCTGTTCCGTTTATATGTTGCCCTGTATCATGAGCATTGCTTGATCTTGTTGTTTCTATTGTTTTTCATTTGTCTGTTTCGTGATTTGTTGTACTTATATCTTTAATCGGGTGTCAACATTCTCTTTATCCTTTATAGTGCATTCCCAAAAGGAGTTAATCGTCAAACAAGTGTGAGGTCTATAAAGGACCAGAAAATGGGGCCTTCATGTTCCTTTTGATGAGGTTTGTGTTGCTCTGTCCCTTCCTACTTCGATTGCTTTTATACGATGGATGTAATAATACCAAAGTAATAATTCTACCTACGCACTGCCTTGGTGGACTCCCCAACGGAATACAAGTGTCTCAGTATCTATATTCTCTCCATGGCATTATTATTTCTAGGTTGGTTGGCCAAGATGGCTGGCCAGCCGTATCGAGGACAATTTGCCTTTTTCTTCATGACAATTGCAAAAGATGGACCAAAATAAAGATCAAAATAGCAGCAATAATATGTAGACAAGGGTAAAAAACTGCCTTGGGAGACTTATAAAGCTGGATCTGGCAAGCCACGTCGTCTCTTTGAGAGATCGGATAGTGGGACGTCGATTTAACCTTAAAGAATGCACGTGGATAAACATGGATGGAACACCAAAAGAAGAAGTGGATAACTGGATAACGCCCGAAAAACCTGGTTGTTGGCTCGGGATGTTGTGTCGATCGTTGTTCAACTTGTTGTCCAGATCCTCTTTTATTTGTCGAGGACACTTTGCATCTCCAGAAAAACACGTGCGGTACATCCCAGTTTTTTGACAGGATCATCCCTGACACACCAGCGTGGGATCAAAACAAATAGATAAATACAAATCCAGCCAAGAAACGTCCAAGGGAGATAAAAAAAAGTTGGAAATACATTGTACCAGCTCGTATGGCTAAGGCTTGTGTAAGTACAACATTCTATTGACGGATTTCAATCCCTCCTAAGGCGATGGTTGTCTCCGTGCCAAGACGGCAGCGGCCGCATTGCATGTACGACATACTGCGACTGCATTCCATGGGTAAGGGCAAGTCTGCATGATACTTTTCTTTCATTTTCATTTTTTCTCCCAGATTGCTGGTATTTCTTCTGGTATTTCCGCAGCTCACTCGTCGGCCTGTTTTACGTACTACAAGGGACACGTGCGAGACAAGCATATACATGTACTCATGTACGTTTGACTTGCTATAATGCTTGAATAAAACACATCCTTCTCTGCTTCAACTCTCCCCCTGCGCCGTGCTGATTGGAAAGAAAGCACCGAAAATCAAAACACGCGACGCGCATCAAAATAAATAAACAAATAGGGGTAACCTATGCACACTATCAAAGCCTTCGCCTTACGGTACGCCTTCAGCCAGATCCGGTCATGAGAAAAAACAAGACACGGAGCCTCACCATCATCCATCATGCTAATTATCGTCGCCATCCTTCCCTGCCCTTCTACCGTTCCCTCCATCCCTTCGCTTATAAAATCAAACAAGCCCTCCGCCGTGTCTTCGTCAGCGTCGTCTCCTCGTCGGTGGTAGTATTAATACCGCGTGCAAGCACTGCGGGTTTGGTTGGACCGGCACCCCTTCGAGTACGTGGGCGTAAATGTTGAAAAAAAGAAATAGAGCACAAGAGTGCATAAAAGACATCAAGTCGATCAAAGTGTCGAATGATAAAGAAGATGAGGAAAGGTTGGGAGAGAATCAAAATGGCAAAATGCGACAGGGAAACGAGTACATCGTGGCGTCGCCCAGCTACCCAGCCCAGGGGTAGGTGTATCGCGGTATGCCAGAGTCACTCCAATTTCATTTGTTTCCTCATGTTGTGCTGCCACACTGTGTTTTGATATTTTAATTTTGGAGTTCTGAATGGGGTTGCAAGGCTGTCCCTTTACAGGAGGTAAGCAAACAGGCCCAGAGCCACAGCGGCGGCACCGTTGCCGAGGTGGCCAACGGCCGTGGGCATGGCGCCGTTCGCGGACTTGGTCGAGCTCGGCGCAGGAGTGTTAGTAGCTGAAGCCGACGCGCCCTTGTCAGTAGCTGTGGCACTGGTCGTCGGGGCAGAGGAGCTTGCAGCAACAGCAGTGTAGTTGTCCGGGTTGAGAGAACCGCACTGGTCCTGAATGCTAGTCGTGCAGTTCTTCTGGGCCTGGGCGTTGCCAACGTTGGCTGCGTTGCACTCAGAGTAAGCTTCCTGGCAGATGAACTATACGGGCGGGGGAAAGAGTCAGTCACGCAAATTCAACGATCGAGTCGCAATACGAGACGGGTAGCCATTGCTACGCCAGGATAGCGCGAGAAGACATACGGTAGGCAGAGTCTGCGTGTAGTACTCGAGGCCGGGGGCGGTGCCGTTCTGGCACAGACAGTTGAAGGTCAACAAGTTCTGTATCGGAATGTCAGCACAATTGGTAATTCTCGAATACAAAGCATAGCCGACCGGGCTGGGCTGCGCCAGTCCGGGTGCAAGGGGGAGACTGGGCCGCGACGTACGGGGTCACAGCTGTTGGCCTTGGGGTTGCCGTCACAAAGCGTCGAGCACGTGTTGCCCTGTGCAGAACACCAGTTCGCTGGTGGATGGCGAAATAACATGTTAGCTACTGTGTGCAGATCAAAAGGCGAGGCAACAAAGTCATCGTTAAGTCACGGCGGAGTGACAATTTCGCCATAGCGAAGGGCGCGCAAAAGCGGCCTGCAGAGAGAGGGACGAGTAAGAGGAAACAGAGGGAAAACATACACCGCAGCGTTAGAGGAACAGCCGAGGGATCAATGGTGAAGTTCTTGACGGCATTGACGGCACCGAGCGCAGAGAGCGCGACAAACACGACCGAGTTGCGCATTTTTGCTGTTGTGAAGGGCGAAGGAGACGAAATGTGGTGAAAAGACGAAACCGAAAAAAAAGAAGAAGAAAGAAGACGTGATACTATTTCGGCTTGTCAAAAGCTTCAATGCAGTAATTGGAATATATTTACAAACGGGGTGGAAGGAGGACAGCAGGAGAGGACAAGAGGGAAGAGAAGGGAAACAAAGGGAAAGAGGGTTTGAGACTGGGGGAGTATGCGATGATTTAATTTGTTTTGGGGGCAATTTGGGAAGGGGCGACAGGCACAGGAACGGGAAGGAGCGATGGGCAATGAAGGGGTGGTGGGTGAGGACAGGCACAGGCACACGATAGAAAAGGTTAAGGCATTTCAGGCCGAGCTGCCGGGTGGGGAGGGAATGCTTTGTGTGGGCATTACGGGGGCAACCACGACAGCTCGCGATAGTCAGAGTGCAGCAACAAGCCGCCAAGAAAAGGGCAACAGCAACAAGGGAGCAAGAAAGGAGCTACTTTCCGTTTCTGTTTTCTGCAGTGGCACACACATGCGACCCATTGTGGTAGGGAGCAAGACGAGCTAAGATACCGGAGGCAGGTACGGACAGTGCAGGTGGCAGGTATCAGACCTGCGCCGCATATTGCAGCTTGTACCAAAGAGGGAATAACAGGTGGTTTTGCGACACCAAAATCCTCTGGAGATGCGGGAATGGTAGGGATTGTGGAAAGGGCGACCGCGCAAACATGACTAGACCAGAGTGCATCAACAGAAAAGTGTGACAAGACTAATCGGCCTTGTAGGATAGCTGCGCCGCTAAGCCAGAAGCGACCTAGTCCAATGGGACCTCGCCAGACAAAATCAGAAGGAGAGGAAATAGCGAGCAGAAGTATGAGCGTGAGGGCGAAACGCCAAGAGTAAAAAGGGCAGCGAGATGAACAGGCCAAGACCAGGTCTTGCTCGTTGCTCCTCTTTTGCGTCTTTTCTTCCGTGAAATGCCTAAGGTTCTTTACCGGGGCGTCATATCCTGTTGGAAGGGCCAACGCGCAGCTCTCAAAACGTTGTGTCTCGTGTGTTTCCCATAATAATACCGTCGCTGATAAGCTGATAATATAATACAGCCTGGTTCAGGCCTATCGCGGCTTCCTGCAATGCCAAACAACCGCAAACGGGCCAATTGGTCTCACATGAGGAAGGCACGACGGAGGCACAGCTGTGGGATAGTTAAGCTGGTCTTCCATTTCTAGGATGTGCCTCTGATTCCTCTTAAGTCCAGCCTCTTCAATTTTCATCTTCCACTTTTGCGCCTCGTTTTCCTTACTTTTTCTTCGCTCCTATTGCGATTTTCGCCGCTTTCGTTCGTTCGCTCGTTTTCTTCCGGCACACTTCAAGCCGTGTCTCCAGTTTTAAAACGCAAACTCCACTTGCGTCAGCGTGCAGAAGCGTCCGCGACGTTCCTTCCCTCTAGTCCATTCCTTCTCACCTCCACAAGCTGATACCTTGTTGTTGGAAGGCGCCAGCCACATATCAACGAAGTAACACGAGTCACGCACCAGTCACAATGCGCAGTTGCACCATTTCAGGTACTTCACGCCCACAGAAGTACGTTGTATCTTTTCCCGGTTCGGAAACACAAGCAACCGTAGGTACAGTTGTCGAATGTACGAACATGCGCTCCACGATCTCGCCGTCCGTTTTCCCCTCACGGTCCTTTATATGCCGTAGCTAGTAGCTCCCAAGCTTGCTTATCGTCATTAAATATATATATATATTTCTCGTATTGGCCCTTGATTAGCTCCGAAATGGTACCCCTTTCGCCACCTGCACAGGCACGGCGGTTCTTTGGTTTGTGGGATTGTCACACGTCTCATGCGATGTGCGAGTATTTCTGTTGGTTTGGCGGTGTGATGAGCCAAGGATTGTCGCGTAAACAGTCAGAGAAGGTCGCAAATGTTGCTGGGTCACCAACAAGTGCATTATTCATCCAAGTAAGACATTGGCTGTTCGCAGCCTTCCGACGCCAACTGGACGTGCCTTGCTGATTTGTATCTTACCTTCTTATCCACAATGATATTTTGAATCCTTTACATTGTCGCTACTACTTTCTTTTGACCTAGTGCTAGCCGAGACGAACAGCTTGGGAGTTCTCTGAACTTGGGTTCTTCGAATCCATCGTGAGGTCATCGCTGGAGTCCGAAAGCCAGGGTCAATCATTACTTTTTCCCGGTGGGGCCGTCACTCAATCCGCACATCTTTTGTTCTGAGCATTTTTCTGCTCAGACCGGTGTTCGAGGTTTATCTGTCTATCCCGCCGTCTCCCTCGTCGTGTCTTTCGTTGCTCAGTTTTGTCATATTGATCTTAATGTTATATGAACAGCGGCAACGCCCCATAAAAGGTGCAGGTCCAATCTGATTTGACGGGGCTTCGCTTTCACGCTCAGCCTTGCCAACATGCAAAGTTGTAGTACTCGATATTCTGATTCCAAGTGGCAAAACGATGCCCTGAGCATAGCGCGACCTCAGCTAAAAAAAGAAAAAAAAGGTGAGTAATGTATGTCATATGAAATAGTCTAATCTGTGCGAGCATGGAGCAATATGGACGTTGAAAACAGCCTATACAAAAATGAACATAAACAATGGCATCCTGCCTGTCTCTCTGCATCGTATGAGGAAAGTAGACACTGGCCAGAAGCACATGCAAATATACTCTTAACCGGCATATACATCCCCGATTCCTCCTCCAAGAACATCACCGATATCGAGACACCAACGAAGAGCAAGCGAGCGTCAAAACCAGGGCAGTGAATAAATGATAAAGGGTAAATGCAACAAAGAGACCGAACTACGAGAGACGACACCCAGCAGAGTGAGTGGGCTTCATTCCCTCCTCACCCGCCTTTCTCCATCAGAGCACGCGCACCGTATTATATATGGTTGTTGGGAGGCGGGTGGTAGAAAATACAAAACACAAGTGCTCGAATGCGCTTATGCGTCAATGAGGTTCTCCTCCTCCGGCGCCGGCTTGTTGTCCGCCTTTGCCTTGCCCTTGCGCTCCGCCGTTCTCTGGTAGTACTCGTTGATAACCTTGGCCGGGATACGGTTCAGCATGTCCTTGCGGTAGATCCGCAGCAGGCTCCACGCTAGATCCAGCGACTCATAGATTGTGCGCGACTCGTACTGGCCCTGGCTGATGAACTGGCGCTCAAACTTGTCCAGGAACTCGAGCGACAACTTATCCTCGGCCGACAGCGCCTCTTCACCGACGACAGCCTTCATGGCCGCCGCGTCACGACCAATGGCGTACTTGGCGTACAGCTGGTTCGACACGTCACCGTGGTCCTTGCGCGTCATGCCCTCGCCAATGGCCGACTTCATCAGACGTGAAAGCGACGGCAGCACGTTGATGGGCGGATAGATGCCACGGTTGTACAGCGCGCGGTCAACAAAGATCTGGCCCTCGGTAATGTATCCCGTCAGATCGGGGATGGGGTGAGTAATATCGTCGTTGGGCATGGTCAGAATGGGGATCTGCGTAATGGAACCGTTGCGGCCCTCGACACGGCCGGCACGTTCGTAAATGGTGGACAAATCCGTGTACATGTAACCGGGGTAACCACGACGTCCGGGCACCTCCTCGCGGGCGGCAGACACCTCACGCAGGGCATCGCAGTAGGACGTCAGATCGGTCAGAATAACGAGGACGTGTTTCTCGAGCTGGTAGGCGTAGTACTCGGCGGTCGTCAGGGCTAGGCGGGGTGTGATGATACGTTCGATCCTAATTTGTTAGCTTCCTGTATGACGAAAAATAAAACAAAAGGGCATGGAACGCACGTAGGATCGTTGGCAAGGTTCAGGAAAAGCGTGACACGCTCCAAACTGCCGTTCTCCTCAAAATCGCGGGTGAAGAAGCGAGCCGTCTCCAAGTTAACACCCATGGCGGCGAAGACAATGGAGAAGTTCTCCTCGTGTCCGTCGTGCACACCCTTGTTGGTGACACCTTCGCGCTGCACCAGGCCGGCTTGGCGACAAATCTGGGCAGCAATCTCGTTGTGTGGTAAACCGGAGGCGGAGAAGATGGGGATCTTCTGGCCACGGGCAATCGAGTTCATGGTGTCGATGGCCGAGATACCGGTCGAGATCATCTCCTCGGGGTAGACGCGCGAGTAGGGGTTGATGGGACTACCGTTGATGTCAAGGTACTCTTCGGCTAGCACCTTGGGTCCCTTGTCGATGGCGCGGCCAGAACCGTCAAAGATACGGCCCAGCATGTCTTCGGAGACGCCGAGCTTGAAGCTCTCGCCGGTGAACTCGACCTTGGTCTGTCGAGAGAAGCTACGTTAGGGCTGGACATGTGCCATTGAGAAAGACAAATTGGGTAGCAGTCTTGATGCCGTCTGATGCCAACGTACCTTCTTCACATCTACACCAGTAGTACCCTCAAACACCTGCAGTCATTAGCATGCACCCTGGATATTGCAAGATCGAACTCGCTGAGATCTATCGATGCCATCGTCGTACCTGGACAACAGCGCGGCTGCCTGGGATGGGAGAAACGACCCGTTAGCACATATGCCCAGCCTCCCAGAAAGACATCGTCACAGCGTAAATTAGCAACATACCTCTGGCCTCAAGGACCTGGCCAGCGCGGACGGAGCCATCGGGCAGCGTCAGATTGACAATCTCGTTGTAGCGGGGGTTTTTGACCTAGACAGTTCACAAGTCAGCCAAATGTCCATGTCGAGGCAGCACTCGAAATGAGGCATGAATAAGAGGAAGAACAAAGACGGACATTGTCGAGAATAACCAAAGGGCCATTGGCACCGCCAACGGTGTTGTAGGTGATGTGCGGGTTGATGTTGAACGAGGAGGAAACGCGAGGGTCCATGGTGCTGGCAGTCGTGGGTGTCGGTTGGCGGGAGGCCAAACCACGGAATGACGAAGGGAGAGGAAAAGAAGAGGCTGAGGAGCTGGTGACGGATGTCGCTGAGAGGCCGAGAGAGGGAGTCGAGCGGCGTTGGCAGCGGGTCCGACGAAAATAAGCAAGAGGTGACTGAGGAAGGAGCGAGGCAACAGCTATCGTTAGCAGTCGGCTGTCAGTGCAGAGTGTGGTTGATGCCGGCCGATAGGAATGGCTGAGTAGATGGGGTGCGGGACTTTTGGAGTGAAGGTGTGGCTTGCGAGGGGCCAAGGCAAGAAACGTCCCAAGCTCCTTGCTGGTTCGGGTTAACCCAGAATTGCACCACAGCAGCTTAGCAGCTACGGACTGACCGTCTGCCTGCTGGACTCTCGGTTGGACGATGTCACGTGCACGTGATCGACTTTGCCGCTTTGACAAGTTTAGGCCCGTTGTAACCGCACCCAGTGGCTAAAAGTGAAGTTTATACGAAATTGTGCCTGGAATAGCTATTGAAACACGTTTTGGGAGAACGTCGAAAGTCGCGACATTCTGTCCACCTTCGCAGCGCCCAACACTTTGACAGCCATGTCGACGTTTTACGACACGGAGCCGCAACCGACGGCGTCGCTCGTTCTGCACACGACCAGCGGCGAGATCGCCATCGAGCTGTTTGCCAAGCAGACGCCCTTGACAAGCCGCAACTTCTTGCAGCACTGTCTCGACGGCTACTACGACAACACCATCTTCCACCGCCTCGTGCCCGGCTTCATTGTCCAGGGCGGCGACCCGACCGGCACCGGCAATGGCGGCGAGTCGATTTTTGACGGTGGCGCGCTGTCGGGCGACCTGGACGTGTGGCCCATGGACGAGCGCCGCGGCGCCAACGCAGGACCGCACGGCATCGGCTTCAAGGATGAGTTCCATACGCGGCTCAAGTTCAACCGGCGCGGACTATTGGGTATGGCCAACGAAGGCAAGCCGGACACCAACGGTAGCCAGTTCTTCTTCACACTGGACAAGACGGACGAGCTCAACGGCAAGAACACAGTGTTTGGCCGCGTGGCAGGGCCGACAATTTACAACCTCACAAAGATCGGCCAAGGCGATGTGCAGGAGGGCAGTGAGCGGCCGCTGTACCCAACACGGATTACGCGGACGGAGATCCTGACCAACCCGTTCTCGGACATGCGCAAGACGGAGCGGGACGCACGACACAGCGCAGTAAGCGCGCCACGAGGAACGGACGAGAAGAAAAAGACAAAGCGCAAAAAGGGTGTCAACAAGAACCTCTTGAGCTTCGGGGACGACGTCGAGGATGATCTGGAAGGCGATTCGGCGGCGTCGTCACGAGGGAAGAGCAAAAGGGCGAAGCTCGACAAGGACGACGAGGACGAGGCCGAGGACAAGGATGCAAAGCTGGAACGCACAGAAAGCACACACCACCACAAGACAACATTACCTTCACGAACGCTCTCTGGAAAATCATCTCCAGAGCGCTTAACAAAGTCTTCAAAGAGAGGCAAGGACAAGCACGTGTCCGACTCCGAAACCGACCCGGACTCTGCACCGCGGCGGAAACAACCAGAGATGACGGCGCTGGAGAAGACGAATGCCGAAATTGCTGCTCTCAAGGCCTCGATGCGGCGAACCGTTGCGGTGGAGCCAGAAAACACAAAGGAGGATAAGAAATCGGCCCTAGACAGTCTAATCCCATCAGATGCGAGGCGCGGCAAGAAGTTTGACCGCAAAAATGGATTGTCGAGCCATGACAAGAAGACGCTGCGCTCCCTGGACGAATTCACCTCCAAGCTAGGACAGGAAGCAAACGGCAAGGCCGCATTGCCTCCCCCAGAACAATCGGCGACAGCAGGACCAGACGTGGGCGAGGGCGAGGGTGACGGCACGGTGTGTGACCTGCACTTTATTGCCAACTGCCAGAGCTGTCGGCCCTGGGATAAGAACGGCGAGGACGGCCAGGTTAGTGATAGCGACGGCGAGGACTGGATGTCCCACACGCTCAACTGCGCGGCCGACAAGCTGGGCAAGGACCTGAGCTACCGAAAGAAGGCCGAGGAGGAGCTGATTGTGATCGACCCGCGCGAGAAGGCGCACGCGCTCAAAGAGGAGAGGAGCAGCTCGCGGCGGGACAGCGGTCGTGCCGGGGGCCATCGGGACCAGACACGACATGCGAAATTGTCACAGGCAGCAACAGTATCTGGACGAGGGGCCAGGTGATGTGATCTCGTGTCATGAGATGGAGCAGGCTACAAGATAGTGTACAAAAACAATACCCATTTGCATGTTAAAATTACATTCTAGAAGGTGCTCGAAGTTTCCAACCTGCCACGTGTTTGCCTACAGGATTGCGCAGAGTCTTACGGTAAGGCTGTCAAGACAATGAGACGTAATTTGCGTCAAGGGCGTAAAAGGAACCGGGTTCGGTCGAATGTAAAGACGCTGTGACCGACGGATTTACAGTGGAGTGTTGGCCCCATACAGCACGTCTCCGAGCCACGGCAGGACCCGAACACTGCAATCGCTGCCCGGGTCTTTAACCGGTCCCGGTTTTTTTTCCCCTAGGAGCATAGTGACCACGTTGGCCGAGCGTGACTTCCCATGCTGCCGTCTTGCTCGCCTGCCACTGCAGCGGAAGGATCGATCAGGTAATTTGTCAAAGTTGGCAACATGCATAATGAGTTAGGCAGAAAGGGCGGACGACGGTATCAGCGCGAAACTGCACGAGGAAAGAGCTGCCCAGCAGAAAATACGGAGCATAAGTTTTCCAATGTGCAGGCTTGTCACCGCGCGCTCTGATTGGCCGGTGACACTGAATAAGAGCATGTTGTTCTCTGACCGCTACAGTTGTAGGTAACCCGAACAGGCCGCCGTAGCGGACGGAGCAACAGTGGATGGCCTGGCGCAACTCCGCAGTGGAAAGCAAGGCCGTCAGCGTGCCGCCCTGCCCGCTTTTGTGTCTTAGCACGCCAATTGCATGCGCCAGCGACATAGAGCCTCACGCCCTAGCGGGCTACAGAAAAACGAAAGAGAGACAAAAAAAAAATCAAAGAGGAAAACAGCAAACAGCCACGATACAACAACACGACATACGACGACCCGCCATCCCCCTCCCTTCCGACCTGTACGTGCAATATATTTACGTCCTCGTGCGGCCGCCTCGGATTCGCTGCGCCCAACAGAGATGGCCAGCGATTGCGCCCGAAAGGCCCTCGATCGCGATCAAACGGACTGCGACAGACGGCCAGCAACTAGACGATCATTGTCTCCCACGAACACTGTGACGGCCGATCCTTGCGTGGAACGGCACAAGTGATCTCAATCCTCATAGTATATTATTTCGAGTGCATATCTGCGACCGCGCCAACCGACGACCGCGCCTCCGGACGAACGACGGCCCCTTGACAGCTTGGTTATCTCACCGGGTTGCATTCGGCGACTGTTTCCTTTCAATTCATCTTGTGACGCTGTTACGGTGCACACGCTTCCCGTCCGACGACCTCATAACGACACATCGCGACCTGTTCGTCGCTTGACGTGCATCCCTCGACTTCAGCAGCCAGAGGCGGTCAGCAGCCCTCGAAGCTTACGACTTCCGCGCCTTGCACGGCTTGCACGTCTTGGACACTCCTCCACTTCTGTTACGACAGCTCCCCATAGCCAGCAGCCATGTCGCCGAATCCTCGTAAGCGCGCCGCGCCCGGCGATCCGCCCGTCTTCCCCGTTGCCGGCAACGGGCAGCCTGGCTTCAACCCGGCGACGCAGCAAGACCAGCTGCTACAATGGTCTGGCGGGCTGCCTGATGGTTTCCCCAATCTCGCTCAAAATGCAAACTCATATATGATGGGCAATCAGGGCCAGTTCTTCCAGCAACAGCTTCGCCAACAGCAGCAACAACAACAGCAACAACAACAGCAACAACAACAGCAACAACAACAACAGCAGCAGCAGCAGCAGCAGCAGCAACCGCAACAGCTACCGCTGCAGGCTGCCCAGCCACAGCAACTTCATATCCAGCCTCAGCCCGCCGTGCAGCAAGTAGGCCAGGTCCAACCGCAGCCGACATCCACGGCCATTGCTCGCCGGCCACCCAATCGCGCCCTGGTTCCATCTGTGGCCCGGCCGGCGTTTGATCCGAACACGGACTGGTCTGCCTTTGGCGACGACGCGGGCGCGCTGAGTACCAGCCTCAACCACAGTGTGGGTGGCCATCTCGCTGCCGTCAACAGCAGCAGCAACAACAACAATGGCAATGGAGGCACGGGCCTGCCCGGCGAGAACGAGAGCATCGAAGTCTTGGAAGAGCGCGCGCAGCGTATCAAGAAGGACTCGCAAGCGAAGCGGAAGCAGATCCCGCCGTTTGTGCAGAAGCTGAGCAGTTTTCTCGAAGAGGCCAAGAATACGGAGCTGATCCGCTGGTCCGAAAACGGCGACTCGTTCATCGTGCTGGACGAGGACGAATTTGCAAAGACACTCATCCCGGAACTCTTCAAACACAACAATTATGCGTCGTTCGTCCGCCAGCTTAACATGTACGGCTTCCACAAGCGAGTCGGCCTGTCAGACAATTCCATGAAGGCGAGCGAGCGGAAGAACAAGAGCCCCAGCGAGTACTACAACCCGTACTTCCGGCGCGGCCACCCGAATCTACTGTGGCTTATCAACAAGCCGAAAAGCGGGAGCAAGGCGAAGCGCGGCAAGAAAGACGACGGTGACGGTGACAGTGACGAGGAAGTGGCCATTGACGAACCGTCGCAGATGGCGCACCATGCCAGCATTCAAGGGATGGGCAACCAGCAAGGACGCGGCTACGGGGCGCCCGGCGCGGGGCTCGGTGCCGGCGGTAGCAACCTCTTGGGGGCCAGTGGTGGCGGAGCAACTGGTGCGAGTGGTGCCGTTGCTCTGGACGCCAACGGTCACGCCAGCGGCGAGTTGGCGCCGCTCCAGAAGAAGGACTTCCAAATTATCAAGGACGAGCTCAACACGCTGCAGACGCGGCAGACCCAGATTTCGAAAGTGATGCAGAGACTGCAGTACGACAATGCGCAACTTCAACAACAGGCCCGCCTCTTCCAGAACATGCACGAGCGCCACGAAAACTCGATCAACGCCATTCTCAACTTCTTGGCCAACGTCTTCCGCAAGTCGCTCGAGGAGCAGGGCGGTGTCCAGGGCGTTACCGAGCTGCTGGCAAGCATCTTGCCGAATGGCCAGATGCCCACCGGCAGTGTCGTGGATCTCACCGACGATTTTGACCGACGGCGAACGACGCCTCAGGCAACCAATCTGAGCACGCCCCCGATGAAGCGACAGCAGAGGCTGTTGCCCCCGATCCCGGCGCCCAGCGCCTCCTCGACCACCGCATCCACTCCGCAAGCGTCCGGTAATAGCGGCGGCGCGGGTGCCCGCGGGAGCAGCGCACGCTCGTCGTCCGTCCTTTCACCCGGGCAGCAACATGTGGGCGCGAGCTACGGTCATACAAGCGTAGGCCAAGCCGGACACCAGCCGGCCATGGGCTCGGTTACAGAACTTTTTGATTCGCCGAGCGAAAACACCTATTTGCAGCACGAGCTGCAAGCCAACCCGCAGGAAGGCATGATGCGGATCATCAACGACACCAACGCCAACACGCCAGCGTCCGGTTCTGCGATTGACCTGCTCGAAGCGGCGGCCGGCACGCCGGCCAACATGAGCACAGATCAACGGGACCGGGTGATTGGCCTCATGTCGGGGCAGGGCAACAACAATGGCAATATGGGCCAGCAACAGCCTCAGCAGCCCAATGTCGCGAACCTGGCCCAGAAGAGTCCTATGACCGGCCCTGGCGGCGTGCCCCTGTCCCTCCAGGTCCCGATGACGATCCCGGCGACCAATGCTGGCAGCGCTTCCAACAACGTGCCGGGTATGCTTTCAGCAGCGGATGGCGCCAGCACATCGCTGTCGCCAATTCTCGGCAATGTGCAGACCGTGCCGCCGCCGTCGCTGCAGGACATCTCGAACACGCAGTCCGAGATCGAGGCGCTCCAACGGCTGCAGGACGAGCAAAATGCCAAGATCAGCGACCTGACGCAGATGCTGGGTCCCCTGAGCCCGTCGGGGCGTGTTCCGGGCATTGACGAGGACGCCATCTCCGTTGGCGGCACGAACCCGGGCATGCAGAGCCCGGGATACTTTGATCTCGGCCAGTACCTTGACTCAAACGCCTTTGGTGACGACTTCAACTTCGCGACGGACGATCTCGTGGGTGGCGGCAACGCGGGCGCCGGCACGGCAGGCTCTGCAGCACCAGTGTCTGGTGGTGCTGGCGGCATTGCCCCTCTTGCGGACGACTTCAGCTTCACCATCAACCCCAGCAACAGTGCCGACAACGGACACGGCGCTGATGGCGACGATGACGGCGGCCACGGCCTCTTTGGCAAGTCCCCTAGTCCGGCTTTGACAGAAGAGATCCAGCGAACCGATCTCAGCAGAGGAAGCAGCCCGGATCCGGCCGTGAAGCGGCGGCGTGTGAGCTAGATGGTAGATGGATTGCCCTTTGCTTTCTCTTCGCTCGTCCTGCGCAGGTGAAATGCCTTTTTTGTCAGGTCTCACCTTTCCTAGCTTTCATTTCTTCTGCTGGGTCTTTGGTTTATGTCCCTTTCTTGCGTGGGATCTCCTTGTATGCTGCATTTCATGACATTTTTTTGGGAGGGGTGGAACGTGTTTCTTTTCATTCCACGAGCTGGACGGGACAAGAAGGGGCTTTTACTGCAGGGAACTCTTTCGCCTTGGCTGGATGGCATCTCGGTTTATGAGAGCTTCGCACTGCTAAGGGGAAAGTCTGAACATATGACGGCCAAAGTCATCTCGCGGTCGGTTGGTTTTCTTTTTCATTTTTGTTTTTTTGTGATTCTCATGTGAGGACCAAAAGGTTCCATTAACGATTTTTTATCCATTTAATCTCATCCTTTCATTGCTGCTCACTGCTATATCGCGTCGTCCTGCATCTATTATATGCGAATGTCTTGACACATGCGACTGTGATTTTGTCATCTTTGCTGTCCTAGAGTAAGATCGCTCAGCGTCAAGAACCAAATCTTCTTTTCCTCTCGGAAAACCTACGCAAAAAGACCAGATAATAAGTGACTTGAAAACATTGTATGTTAGCTGGAGAAAAAAGGAATAGGTGGATGTTCGTTTGTTCCTGCCTGATAAAACGTAAGATAGTTACGTCCGCAGCTTCCGCAACTAACACGCTTTCTCCATTGCAGTGACGAACACTAAGCCACCCCGTCCAAAGGACCCCAACGGCAAGGCAAGGGCGCGCCCCTGGCGAGGCGCCCCATAATCCCATTAATGTGCCTGCCTTGGCTGGACGCGCCCCCTTCCTTTTTCCAATGGGAGCCGTTACAACCGCCTTCGCCAGTCTCACATTTCTGCCCCTCTTCTCCTTCCCCGCCTACATGCGCGCTGCAGAAGGGACACACCAGATTACCACCGCCATAGAAAGCTCTCCTCCGTTCTTTCCACTCACGTTGCTGTGTCTCGTGTTTCTGCCCTTTCCTAGCGCTCAGCCCTGAAACGACAGCCTTCTCTGCGTCCAATTCAGCCCGTCTCATCTTTGCCCTACCTATCTCGACGTCTCTTCAACGAAACACAGGCACCTTGGACGCGCACACTCCGCGACATATCGAAATAGGGGCCATACACAACTCACATACCTTGTCGGATACCACACCAAGCTCGAAACCAACTCTTTCCTGCCTTTCCCCCAAACACGCCTAGCATCTTCTTCACAGAAAACAAAAATGGCCGACGAAGAGCACGAAGTACGCATTTGACCTCGACTCTCTACGCCTCCGCCCCCTCTCCACAGCCTTTCGCTAACACACACACAGGGCGCCACCGTCCAGGAGCAGCTTATTGAGGCTTGCCGCCGCAACAACCCCGACCTGCTCGCCGAGGTGCTCAAGGGCCGCTCCGAGACCGAGGCCGCCCGCCTGCTCAACGAGACCGTCACCGTCCTCGGCAACCACCTCTACCACGAGGCCGCCTCGCAAGGAAACTGTACGTTGTGGTCCGCATGCGTCCGCTTCGCTTCGCTCTCACCCTGCTAACTGTGTAAGACGAAATCATCGATGCCCTCCTCGACCAGCCCGGCTTCGAGTGCGACCCCATCTCCCGCCGCGACGGCGACACCCCGCTCCACACCGCCATCCGCTGGTCCAACGCCGAGCCCGCCGCCCAGCAGCCCTTTGCCCAGGCTCTCGTCGGCATGATGCTCGAGGCCGGCTCCAACCCGCGCATCAAGAACAAGGCCGGCCTCACCGCCACACAGCTCGTCGACCCGCGCTACCCGCAGATGCGCCAATTGATCCAGACGCAAGAGTACATGCTGCTCAACGCCAGCGATTTTGTCGACGACAGTTCCAACAGCAACAGCAGCAGCAAGCCCTCGTCTGCACCGCCGCCGCCGCCACCACCACCGGGCCGCCCAAGCGGTGCCGCACCAGCCATACCGTCGTCGGCGGCACCACCGGTCCCGCCGCCGGCTGCCACCGCATACGATGACGACGCCGAGTTTAGTGGCAGTGACGATGAGGAGCGGGCAGAGTGGGAGCGGCAACGGCGGCAACGGCGGGCATAGGTGTTGGGTTGCGTGAGCGGGGATGTAGGGCGCAAAAGGACCTGGGTTACATAGAGAAGCAGAAGCGGGGCTACGAGCATGCATGTAGATTGATTTTAATACGTTGTGATTTTTTATAAGTCTGCAACTTGCGTGTACGACCAAGAACCGCTACATACAATAGAAAAGCACACGTGCATGAAAGACGGCTGTTCCCTTGGACGGCCAAGTCAAAAAACGGGCATGCAAAGAAACAAAAGAAACAGAAAATAGAAAAGAACAGAACATGTTCGCGAACGCCGGTGCGGTATGAAGATATTGAAAGAAAGGACGGGTGAACCGTTAAAAACAGACAGAGAGGGACAGAGAACCACCATGGAGCACAAAGAGATATCAAGAGACACAGAAGACACACAACAGTCGGTTATAAGTGAAAATAGCCATTAACTTATTCTAGTCTTCTTTTGTCCAAAAACCGACGGCCGCGGCACGAGTTTCTTTGCTTTCACCTGGTTTCGTAGATTAGTCGTGCAGATCATGAATGCTTGAGCACATTCAAATAGGAGGATGGCTGGGGAGTGTATGTGAGCTGCGATGTATGCAAAGGAAAGTGATCTAGTCGAGAGACACAATGATAGACCAAAGACGGACGACAGTGAGACAGAAAAACAGTAATATCACAGAAACGGTATACAAAAGCGATGACGCGTGAAGCAGACGAAGAAACAGAATGAAGAAAATAAGCAAATGACAAATTGAGACATGAAAAAGGGGGTATGCAAAATGCAGCTATGAAAAATGGGGAAGGACAAAGCAGAAAGAAACAATAATGTAAGTGGCAGGAGACTAAACAACAATAAAATGAAAAACATCAAGAGACTACCAAAAGTGCTCCCTTTTTAAGGCCCCAGGAAAGGATCTATTCATACAACGCCATGAAAACAATAAACAAAAAGTGACAAGATTGATTAAGAAAAGTCAGACGTGGGAATAAAAGCGTGAAACTCCGAGAAGACAACGCCGGTCGTCGACGACACAACACAGAAAAGTAACGGTGCTTCTACGTGGCCTTGTTCTTATTAGAAATCATCGAGAGGCCGCGAAGGCGCCCGTGGATAAACCGGCTGGCAGCGCTGTCATGACCATGTTGGCCAGAAGCCTCGTCGAGGTTGCGACCAGCTGAGTGGGAGGACTCCAGCCGTGACAAGCGCGCGGCCGTCGTGAAGTCGCTGCTGGCTTCGTAGCTAGCCCGGACGCGGTCCATTGACGCACGCATACGGTCGTACGACGGCCGGGCCCGGTCAATCGATGGGCGGCCCCGGCCCGACGCCGTGGCAGTGTAGTCAGTGGAGGACACCGCCAAACCTATGTTCATTTCGTCAACAGAGTACTGGCGATCGTGGTCACCACCACTATAGTTGGTGCCGTCACTACCGTTTTGCGTACGCGTATTGTGTGTGGCAACGGACGGCGGGTAGATGGGCCGCCGGTCTTCGTCGACACTGGCAAACTGCATGTGCTGCGAGTTGTGCTTCTTGCCCTTGCGGGAGCCTTCCGAGGAGGACCCGCCCGCCGAGTTGGTGCCGTCCACCAGCTTCTCAACGTCAGGGCCGGTCTCTCTCTTGACGAGCTGGCCGTCCCTGTCATAGTCTTTAAACTTGCCCTGCTGGGCCTGCTCCCGGATGATGTCGACATCGTACGGGAAGTACACCTTCTGCAGCGCCTTGATTCCGTAGCGGGGGAAGATGCACAAAACGGGCACGATAAAGTACACCGCCCAGAAGCTCGCCTCGCCGTAGATGGCCGCCCCAGTGCCGTAAAAGTACTGAGAGTACGTCGTCGACGTGTAAACACCAGTCCAGAAGAAGACGAACAGGAAACTGAGAGCGACAACGAGCACCATCAACCAATCCCACCGGTAGGTGTTGATGAGCATGTACAGGTTGATGGTTAGGACCGTCGGATGCACAATGTAGGCGCCCAAGCGAAGACGATCAGCCACATCCAAACCATTCAAGGAGGCAAAGGGCGTCCGGACCATGGTCAGGTAGGGAATGAAGAAACACATGAGAGATTGGTAGAGACCATCAGCCATGTACAGCCTAGAAAGTGACAAGAAACACATGGTTAGCAAGCAAAAAAGGGAGACAGGGTGTCCTACCAGGGGAGAAGGAATTTGGGGTGGGGGGGGGATCAAGCGAGCTAGAATAATGGGATAGACGGAAGACAACAAAGATGTGCATACCAGAATTTCTGCTGCGTCCACTCCAGGCGCTCAATACCACGACGATACAGTTGCGGGACGGCGAGCGATACCGTGTCGGGGACGTCCTGGTCCAGAACACCCATGAGGATGACAGGCACCGAGGTGAAGAACAAGTTGAACATCAGAATGTATGTGTAGTCGAAAATGTAGGTCATGTCGTAGTTGCAGAAAATCTGGAACCAGAAAATCGAAAACACCCAGATGATGTTCTTGTAAAAGAAGTTGGCGATACTCTCACCCATGCGGCGGTACGACCAGCGGCCGTGCACGAGGACAAGCCGCTTCAAAAAGCGGAACTGGCCAATCGCGTAGTCAGAGGACATGGCAGCTTGCCGACCCTCCAGACCAGCGATACCGACACCAACATCGGCCTCCTGGATCATGGCCACGTCGTTGGCACCGTCACCAATCGACAGAGTCATGACGTCCAGGCCGTTCTTGACCAGGGCGCACACGGCGGCCTTCTGCGCAGGGCTCACACGACAGCACAGAACGGACTTGCACTGCTTGCACAGCAGCAGGAACTTCTGGCTCAGCTCGTCGCTCAAGGCCCAGCGCAGCGTGAAGCCGTCAATAACGACCGCGTGCGTAGGGGCTGGCGGCTCGTGGTTGGCACGCGCAGCCGTCAGGTCTTCGTCGCTGCCTGTCAGGCCAAAGGCCGCAAGACCCTTGTCCAGCTGGGCCTCGATGCGCTCCATATAGTCGTCATCGGTGGTGTTGCCAGACTCGTCCTCATCCACTCTGAGATGCAACAGTTCCATATCGTTGTTCAGCAGGTTGCATGAGAAACCGATGTTGATGGCCGTCTCGACCTTGTCGCCAGTCAAAACCCACAGCTTGATACCAGCCTCGGCCAACAAAGCAATGGTGTCGGGAACGCCATCCTGCAGGCGATCTTCAATGGCGGTACCGCCGAGCAGGGTGAGGTCCTGCTCGATCAGCTCAGCCGCGGCCTCCATCTTCTCCTCACGATTGTCCACCGCAGTGGCGGCAGCGTCGTGGATCTTGCGCCACGAGTAGTACTCGTCTTCGGTCAGGACACGCTGCGCAATACAGAGCGTACGCAGACCCTCGCGGGCAAACATCTCCAAGTGCTCCGCCGTCGCCTTGCGCAGCTCGACTTGCTCGCCGCGCTTGAGCCGAGAGTAGATGATGCTGTCGGCACCTTTGCAGATGAGCACGATCTTGTTGTCGGGCATGCGCACAATGGCGCTCATGCGCTTCCGAGTGGAGTTGAACTCGATCGTGGTGAGGACGGGGTAGTGCCGCTCCTCGCCCATAACGTTCAGGCGGATACCGACGTCCGTGTTGCCAAGGACAGTGAAGCCCATGTCACGGGCGGTGGCGACGAGGGCAGCCTCATCGGGGGACTGGGCCTTGAAAATAAGGCGGGGCGGGTCGCCCGGGATCTTCTCAGATAAGACGGTGTGGCAGAGAGCAAGGCTGAGCATGAACTGCTCATTGGCGTGCTGCTGCTCGGCACCGTGGACACCAGAAAGATCATCGACGAAGTCAGGGGCAATGAACGTGATTTCGTCGTCGTGGAGGTACGGGTTGTCGTTGAGCTTGCGGAGACCGGCGAGCGCCTTATCTTTGGCAACGGCGATCTCGGCATTGGCCCGCTCGGCCTCTTTGACGACGTCGATACCCATGCGCTTCTGCATACCAGCCTGGGCTTCGGTGTAAGCTTCACCGTAGGGCTGGCCGTTAATCGTCGCCTTTTTGAACTCCATGACGTTCTGGGTCAGAGTACCAGTCTTGTCAGAGAAAATGTACTCGATCTGGCCAACATCATCGGAAATGTTCCACGATTTGGGAATACAGGGCTGGTCGGCCTTTTCGTAGTACATCTCGACATCGCTGTAGATAAAGATGGCTTGCAAGGTGCGGATAATCTCAACCGTGATATAAAGAGAAATGGGCACCAAGTTCTGGAACAGAATAAAAGCGGCCCAAAACGTGACAAAGCCGGCCAGCGGAGGCGTGCCACCGTACGGACCCATGTCGACATAGGCAAGCGATGCGTCGGTCTTAGCCCACGAAACACCGTTGACAAGAGCGGCAATCAGACACATAATGAACAAGACACCGAAGTTGCAGATGACGTTGAAGTTGAGTTCACGAGCAATACGGGCACGCTTGCTAGGAGTGTCACCGGCGTTCATCATGATCTTCGTGTCATGACCAGTGAAGAGAACAATGCCCAGCGCCCACTCGGTGTTGCGGAGGTTGCAGCCACGGAGCAGGAGGTTGTCGATGGAGATAGGCTCAGACATCTCATGCACAGCGCCAGAGGGGTCCTCCTCAAAGGACTGGTTCCAGTGGATGGCGCCGTTGTACTTGTACAAGTTCGACTGGGGCGGTTCGCTCTTGACGTAGAACTGGGCACGCTCACAGTCGCGCGCGTGCTTGAGGCTGCGGCCACAGCGAAGAGACTGGCGGAACTTGAGGTTTGTCTCGCCGTCCAGGTTCTTGGTCTCGATGTAGCAGCCACCATCCGGGTCGGAAGTCGCCAGCACGACAACGTCGGCAGGTAGTTCGTCGTCGTTATAGATACGAACAAAGTCGCCAACCTGCAGATCCTTCCAGGCGCCGCGATGGAAGCGGGCTTTGCCTTCAGGGATAATATTGTGGTTCAGGAGATCAGGCTTAGCATTGACGACGTTGAACTCGCCATCGGTGGCGGGGTTGAAAGAAAATGCCGACGTAGGGCGCGTCTTGTCCTGGGCGACAGAGAGCATGTCCTGCATCTGAGGCGGTGCATTGCGGGGCGAAGGCGAGGGAACCGGCGTCATCTGGATGTTCTCGCGTGCAGACACAAACGAGTCGCGCTGACTGTACGGCGAGAGCATCGATTCGCGGCGCGTATGACGTGTCTCGATAGACACGCGCGGATCGTAGCCATTGGGGCCGACCTCGGCGGCCTTCTGCTTGTCCTTGCTCTCCTTCTTCCAGAGGCGCTTGATAAGGTGCCAGAGTCTCGAGAAGAAGCGCGAGGTGGCCTTCTTGAGCTTGCGCCAGGCCGACACATTGTCCTGGACAACATTGACATTGTTCCAGTCCAGTAGGCGGTACACGGGGGAGTTGTTCAGAGTCTTATCCGAGCGCGTACGGCGCACGTCCTCAATGGCATCACGGATGGCCGTAATAACAATAATGGCGATAAGTGGGACAGAGTTCAAACCGGGGTTCTCGACACCGAAAATCGAGAAAAACTAGGTGAGAAAATGGTCAGCAAAGAGAACAACGCGGCTAGGGCGGGACGACGGAGAGCCAACCAAACAGGGAAACAGCTCCAAGCGAGGGAAATACACATACAGCAAGAATGACAACAAACAAGAAGAAGATGTTGGCAATGTTCTGGAACTGAAAGTACAAGTTCTTCGGGATGAACGACAGCGGTGTGTACTTGGCAGTCCGAATCTTGTTTCGCGAGTACGTTTGCTTGGGCGCGCCGTTCTCGTCCTTCTGGTCGGGCGGTAATGGAAGGTTGAAGTAGAGCGTGCGTGGACCAGGGCCATCGTGCTCTTCCTCCTCCTCGTCGGCAGGGGGGGCATTCGGGTCGGCATTATTGGGTTCGCCGCCTTGGCGGAACGACTCGGAACCGGCCGATGCGCGTTTCTTCTCATTGGCGAGGGACTTGCCGTGACGGCCAATGAGAGACAAACGCTTCTTGTTACTACTCTTGACAGTCATCTTACGAGTGGCCCAGCGAGAGCGTTTTGTCTTGTGCGTCGACGTCGAGCCGCCCTGCCGTTTTGGGGCAGGCGGTGAGTTGGGGTGCGGGAGATTTTCCGCAATGGTGATGCCGTTGCTGTGCCCGCTGGGACCGGCTGCTCCGGAATCGTGAGCAGCCTCGATGTCGTTGTCGCCATAGGATGGCTGGGCGGGCACGTCCGCCGGGTTGTCTGTTGCGTTCATCATATTGGGTGGCTGATGGAACGGGGACGGGAGGGGGACGGGCGGGAAAAGAGATTACTAGGGATGCGGGTCGAAGAGGTGATGCCACTCGGGCATATCCTAGAGGCGCAGGCCTATCGTCTCTTCACGTCGAGGGGGTTGCTCCTATGTGGACTCGAGCGGACGAAGTTCGTCAAGCCAAAAAGGCTGGTCGGCCGCGTCCCGTTTCGGGGGGAGGACCTCGTCTATCCCAACGCCGACAAGCGGGTGGAATTGATGCTGCGCGCCGCCGGGATTATAGCATGAACACAATCCGAGAGGTTCGAATCGCACAACGCCGGGAATGGGTGTCGACTCGATGAAAACGTCGTTGGCGATAGGGAGGGAGGGGGGAAGAGTTGCCCACAGAAACTTCAACTGCGGCGTCGAGAGCGTGAGACGTGTCGACTCTTTGTTCAAATCGGCGAGAAAGGGGGTCGAGAAAATTCGATAAAAAAAAGAAATGAAACGAGAGGAATTCGTCGTCTGCGTCTGTCGTCGTCTGAAAGAAAATGCAAATAGAAAGTAACGGATCCAAAATGACAAGGACGCGGTCGGGAGGCGAATATCGTGGTCGGCCGTGTCGGGGGACGAAGGCCCTTTCTTTCTGAAATTTTGACTGTGGTCGAGAACTGGACAACCAACAGAAAATGTTCCCTGAGTGTTTTGGGAGCGGCGGGAGAAGAGAACGGGCACGAAATGGACCGCCAAGGCTAAGCACGAGAAAGCGGAGCCTGAAGAAAAAAAGGAATGGGGGGATCCAGTACGAGCGCCGCTAGGAATAGCCACCGGCGAGAAAGGGAGAGCCAGACACAGGCGATTGAGTTCTGTATACAGAGTACGTTGAAGTCCGTTCGTCACAGAAACAAGGGGGATAAGGGGCATACAAAGAAAAGGAACAAAAAGAACAACGACGGCAAAAGAGGAGCCTAGAAAAACGGGGAAGGAGACGACGAGAAAGGATAAAAATTAGCACAGGCTATAATACGACGGCGACGAACCGCTGGAAGCAGCAAGAGCGACGGACGAAACAACAGTGAGAACGCGAGTGAGATTGAGTAGCAAGAGCGACCGAGGCGAGAGACCAGGTGGGAATTTGCTGGGTCTGGTTTCGAGACTAATTTGCTAATATCGGATGGCCCGGGCGGCAGAAGAGGCAGGAGCAAGCGGTGTCATTTTCTACTGAGTCTTAGTAGGTGTTGTTTGGGAGCACAGGGAAGGAGCAGACGGGCGCCGCCCAAAAAAAAAAAACATAAATCAAACCGAAGGCGCGAAGGGGGTTTGCCTTTTTGGCTGGCGGCACAAGCTAAGGAAAAGGAATCACCGGCCACTAGACAGTACCCCGAGGTACTCCAGGTGAGCCGTTGCATGCGAAAATACTAACGGACTTAAGCAGAGAGACCCAGGAGTACATGGGTTTGGTAAGCAGCTGCAAACTCAGCCTCGCTGACGGAGAAAGGAGCTATCAGCTTTTGATTTGGAAGTCGCGATTGGCGGCCAGAACGAATGCGATGCGTTGGCCACTCCGAACGGAGCGAAGGTGCGTATCTTACGGTCAGTTTCGCCTTCCAAACGTTTGTCAAGATTCTGGTGCCCGAGAAACGGGAAAGAGCAAGGCAGACACGGTGCAAGAAGCAAAGGTGAGAGCACGGCAGGCACACCCACCAGACAACAAACAGGGCTGTTTGGGTTGCGCAGCCACGACGATCAGAGACTGTACGAAATACAGCCCCTATCATTGCCAATGTAGCGCTGTTTGGTGGTCCAGGAACAGGAGCGATGATGCTCGGCGTCCTGTCAGCGGCCTGCCTGTTACAACGCCTGTAAGATAGTTGACATGGCACACAGCCTGACCGGTCAAAACAGCGCCAGGAGGATAAAAGACGCCCGCTAAACGAGTCCGCCGAAACGGGCTGCTTAGCGACAGTGGATTCGTCAGTGGGCCAGGCACTTGTGGCTTGTTCCTGGTCGTCACCTCGCATCGGCGCTAGTCCACTTGCTCGTATATGAACCTGGCCTCATGGAAGAAAGAATACGATATTATTAACGAATTGCACACTGCAGGTGTGTTTGGCCGACGACTTACGGAGTATTAAGTTACCCCGTGTTGTTACTCGCTTGTCTCCTCACCAATCCAGCAAAGGGTAAGGACCAGACGCCCACATGTGACGACAAGGTGTAGTACTGTGTAGGTTTCTAAGGTCTCCATTACACCTTATTTGGCTGGTCTTTACCAGACTCGCAGCCTAAACACACATTTGAGTATCTTACGTATGTAATTCAGCGCAGTTGGCAGAGCAGGCCTGTCAGCCTTCAGAGGCCGATTACCAACGCAAGAAGTGGCACTGTATTCCACACTGTCATCTCATGCTAGGAATGCAGATCGCGTCTTCTGCGCGTAAAGCAGATGGTCGCGAGGAGAGCTCTAGCAATGTAGACTCGTGCAAATTAAGTAAGGACGAGGGAAGGGCGGCCCAGACTGTGAAAAGTAAAACCAAGACTGAGTGGGAGGGAAGGGAACGCGACATGCCAGCACCGGAATTCCAAGATGCACCGCAGCTTTGCGCATCTCTCCGTGAATCCATTCTCGGACACTAATTACAAAAGACATAGGCCCAAGGACCCTGATTCTATCCCAAAAAAAAACCACCTTAATCCGTAGGAGGCCGTTTTGCCCAGGGGTCCAGCCAAGCCTGCCGAGAACTTGGACACCTGGGCTAGGAAGCGCAAGCTTCATCTTCCGAAGAAGACATCCATTTCAAGACAGAAAAGGGGGGATGCGTCGAGGACACCTCCGTACGACGCAGTTGCTGCGCGCGAGAGGACGTGCACGCGGCGCGTCTGGGCTGCATCGTTGCAACAGAACGAGCGACCCGTTTCAGGGGGTAAGGCAGTAACAAAAGGGGGCGCCTCTGACGCTCTTACGGTCTTACCCCGTTTTGATTTGGCATCGTGGTCTTTCTGTTTTCGGCCAGTGGCAATACCTGCCGTTTTACGTCGTAATTGCTTTCCAGGCTTGCCGTCTTCTTTCCTCCGGTCCTTCCTTTTGCGCGCCTCGCCTCTTGCCCTCCTCGACCACAGCCCACGAGCCCGCACTCTGCCGTTCAATCGAAACCACGGGGTTAAGAACACCGGGCGCACGGAGACCACACCAACTCACAACCGGTGGGGACTGGAGGAATCCGCAAGCCGTAATTGCGGCCAAGCAACTCTCTATTGGCAATATTCTTCCTTTTGGCTTCAACTCGACTAGCGGGCCCTGGAACCGCGGGATGGCATTTATTACTTCTGTGCGCATTACACATTTGAAATGACAGCTTTACAACCGTTTACAGACCACCCAAGAATACAGCGCTTCATGAACAAAAGGCTCCGAGCATCTGCTTAAGCAGTACGAAATACAGAATACGACATACAACATACAAGGGGACGAGACTCCACCCGACAACCAACGGCCTTCGAGTGCCCCGGAACAGCCCGAGAGCCCGTGATTGCCCCGCCCAGCGACTACAATTTCCACTGCGCTTTACTATTTTGTAACTTAAAGCACACATGACTAGACATCGAACTGAGTGTCGACAAGTGTATGCCGGGCAATTACAGCTACAGCGCTTGCAAATAAGCATCCGTATCCAATGCTCCAGACGACAAGTTGCCTCCATTGTGCAACGGCAATGTTGGCGGTCAAACAAACACACGACTCGCGTGCATCCGGGGAAGGAAACGCACTCATGTCTCTTACGGAACGGATGGGACACCAGAGGATCGACGACGTCAAGGAAACACGAAAAGCTTGGCAAGGAACATGTTTCCGCAACACAACCTCAACCCGATTCGGCACAGCAAATTATCTGCTGCCAATGTCGGTCTCTGCCTCTAGACCTGTTCGAAAGTCTGTAAGGTGATGCTTGGTACGAGGCCGCAGCTGGCTTTGACCAGGCTGTGACCATGACAAAATAATTCGGTAAGGACGAAAGATGCCCAGTTGACGCCAGCAGACACGTAATACAGAGTTGCACAAGGCATCCTGCGCCCAGCGCCCTGCACCTCCACCCCCGGTCTTACTTTTGAATCTTGCATGGCACATTTTGAACATAAATGCATCCAGTACGACGGCGAAATCACAGCGTGATGCATCCTTCCTGCCTGGTGGCTCTTTGGGCTGACTATGCTCCCCATCGTACCAGCCTCTTGGCTTCTCTCATTCTTCCAATTTTCCTTGCTTATGCGTTGCATTCAAAATTCTCTTTCTACAGAGACGAGGCAACTACGATGTACTTTTATGATGGTGCAAACTAAGTCTTTAACGCCGTATTTGTCCCCTCTTTTGCCCCATGTCCCCGGGCTTGGTCTGCAGGCTCGCGATGGACTTCTGCTACAGGCACTCTACTTCGATATACACCTCCAACATTCCCATACGACGATCATGTTGTCGAAACTCGGTTCAGGCGCCTCGTATTAAAACACACAAGCAAATTCCACATATGCAAGCACAAGCACAATAAGATGCACATTATCATAACTTAGGCGATAATGCCAGAAGTGCTAAATTGGGAAGCAATAAGAGAAAGTCTAGCCTGAGGGCCAGGCCCAGAACACCGTTCCTCGTGCACATGTGGCGGTTAAGAAGATCATATGGAACATAGAATATCAGACTTCTTTCAAACAATTGCTACATTACATAATAGGTTACGGTATGCATCTAGGAGAGTGTTGACGTAGCGCACAACATGGCGCCATGTGAAGCACCAGTCTTGGCCCCTTTCGACAACTCTGAAGCACTACTTATATTGCTCTAGTAAAATGTACAATTGTACTGTCCATGTAGTTCCTTCCACGGACACAATACACTATCCGGTCCCAATTGTTCGGTTGGCTGGAACGACCGTTCTATACCACCTTTGTTGGCCTATGGCCCTTTTGCCTGTCGATCGTCCTGACTCGAAACAGGCGCGCCCTTCTTGACCAAACGGCTTCTGGAACGTACTGTCTGCCGAGCAGTTATCATTCGTGTTTACTGAGAATGGGGTGACATGTCTACTTGCTTTTTCTGTGGTCGGCACCAGAAGTTTTCCTCATATATTTTTTACTTTTATTTTAATTTTATACTTTAGTGGAATTATATGATTTTGGTTCTTTTTCTTATATGTATTCATTTTAAATTCGCATAAAATGCTTGTACTTCAAATCCAAGGCCAAAATACACAGCTCGAAAAAGCAACAACAAAACCAAAAAAGAAAAGATAAGAAAAATGGTAACACCAATTATTTAACCACGCGGACTCAGACTCACCAAACAGCGACATAAGACCACCGACGCGAGGCTAAACTTTTCATCCAAAGTTGTCGACAACAATACTTATTTCGCACGTGGACACACGTTTCCTTAACGAGACTTACATGACGCTTCATCTAGATCCGACTAAATACAAACCACCAAAGATAGAGCAACTGCATGGGCAACACAAGTATAACATAAGGTTGTGATAACCTCGATGCTGCTTGATGTAGTTACGAGGCTGTAAGCGTATTTTAGTGCGTCAAACCTTAAAGTATGCGCTCACAGCGGTCCACCCCGCCTGCGTCAATTGGCCAACGCGCCAAAGTGACGCGCCAATAAAGAGGGCCCCGCCAAAACCAGAACAGCAAGCGCATCCCACGACGCGGCTGAAGACCGTGGTCCTCTTGCTAACCACTTCTCTTTCCTCGCCACATCGTCGCCTTTCTAACAAACACCCAAGCATATCTCCTCCTCTCCCGGGCTCCATAGCTTACGCTCTACCCATACGCTTGCCTTACTGGCGAACATGGACGTCATTTCGACTCACATTGTGATCTAATCTGGTCGCGTTTCGTTGGATTTTTGCTCGAGCTCGCGAGCAGCTATCACTGTTAGCATCTAGCAGGAGACGACTTTGATATAAGAACACAAGAGCCGAATCCTCCGGACACCACCCAGTCCGCTTGCACCATGGCCGGAAACGGTTCCATCCTCAGCTACTGGTCCGCGGCGCCACAGCGCAAAGATGCAAATGCATCGGGACCCTCCGGCGGAACACCAACACGGCGAAGCACCGACGCCGCACAGCCTCCCGAACCGAAAGCCATCTCCCCCTTCTCTCCTCCCTCCAAAGCCGGCGCTACGGCCACCTTTCACATTTCGCCGATGCCATTACACATAGCCCCGCCGCGGGGTTCTTCGACACTCTCCCGCGGATCCAAGACCTCACCCGAGTCCCTGCCGAGCTCCCCCGACTCCTTTCCACCATCTCCAATACAATCACACATACTGGCAAAAGCCAGGAAGGAGAACATGCTAGGATCGTCTCAAAAGCCACCTGCGAGTCTGGCCACGCACGAGATTCGAGATTCAGATGACGATTTGGACAGCGCCAGCGACGGTAGCGGCAACAGCGCCGAGTCATTACAAGACGCCGTCCGCTTCAACGAGCCGTTCCGAGGTTTGTCCACATCGGCGTCCTCAACGTCGCTACCGGCGGTGCGGACGGGGACGGGACGGGCCACGGCAACCGTGGCTGGGGCGCGAACGACATCAGCGGCGTCCCGGGCGGCGTCCTCGTCGTCACCCAACGACAGTTCGTCAGTGCCGTCCGTGACAAAACGCCGAGCCGCTGCAGCTGTCCTCACCTCCCCGCTGCCCTCACGGCGCACCAAACAGGCCCGCGTCTTGCCGGCCAGAGCGAACCCGCCCAAGCACAAATTCGACATGATGGCGCTGGTTCGCCATGCCCAGCAAGAAGACGCCACCGATGCTGCCACGCGCCGTGTCGAGGACCTCCTGGCCGAGACCGAAAGGCGGGCCAAACAGGAGAGAGAACTTGGGGAGAATCGTCGCACGGTCTCTGGCGACGGCAAATTGGCGAGAGCGCCACTTCTTGACGGTCTGTTCGACAGCGGAGCCGGAAGCGCCAGCGGCACACCCGGCGGCAGCGTCAGTGGGGACGGTGGCGGCGATAAGAGCGCCTTTGGGTCCTTCAACAGAGAGCGGCTCCGCAAGGCCCTCGATCGTACCGAGGTGGCGGCCGTGTCGGAGTCGTGGTATTTTTTCAAGGAGTATTTTGTACCGTCGCCTGCCAAACGACGGCCCTTCCCGCAAAAGGTAGCGTCCCCAGGGAGCCGTTGGGCGTTCTTGCGGGATGCAACGATGCGACAAGATTTTTTCATGATGGGCGTGGTCCGGAAAGCGGTCTTGAGCGCGGTGAACCATACTGCAAACAATGGTTCTAGCGGTGGCGGGGACCTGTCTGCATCGCAGCAAACCGCGAGGGAGCCTCACCTTCCCGACGAACTGTTTCTATGGATTCTCAACGAAGCTTGTGTGGACCCACTACCTGCCCTCCGCGCCGAGTATGCAGCCGTTTTGCGCTGCTGTCCCGAGCAGGTACGTCGTTTTGTCGACGCCGAACGCCTGCTGCTCCTGTTCCAGAAGCTGGGACCGCGATGGGAAAGTATCGATTTGTCTACGCGGCTTGAGCTGGTACCCACCATCCACCGGCCTTACCCGGGACGTGACTGGTCCCCGCTACGTTCCCTCCTAAGCCTGATGGCTGCGCTCGCCGACTGCTTGACCTTAGAGACCGTGTCTTGTGCTGTTAAGATCCTGCTTCGGCTGGGCATTGACCGTGTTGTGGAAGAGACCCCCGATCTTCTACAGGACTACCAGGAAGCCATGCGCAGGCTTGTTGGCCGTGTGCCATTGGCGGACTGGAACGACTTTGTATGCATGTCCCCCTCCTCGTCGTTTTCTTCATCCCTTGCCCATTTGTTAACGTTAGTGTATAGTGCCACGATACGGGATCATCCTTGTACAACAGCGTCCAGAAGCCGTCCTTGCGCTGGCAGGTCTTGGCCTGCATGCCTCTGGACACGCCGGCCTGCCACGATATGCGACGACGGCTGGCGTCTGTGCTGTTCTTTAACGACCCGGAACGAGCCCGGCAGGACCCACGCCGCCAGATTCAGTTGACCCAGGGCTTGGCCAAGTTGGCCGTTCGGGACGACCTCGTTTTGACGCCTGCCACCAACTTTGTCGACCTGACAGCCCTCGTGGACATGCTCAGCGTGTTTCTAGACGACGTGGGCCGAGAGGCGCTGTTACAGCAAGCCGCTGTGTTACGCAGTTCGGCGACGCCCAAGGACGAGGTCGCTGCTGCTGCCGTCCGAGCCTTTGACGCCGACATTGACAGCCTCGTCCGGCGGCTGAAGGTGATTGGCCACGGCATCGAGTCCACAGGCGGCGGCCACATTGCACAGCTCGACAGCAAGACCGCCTTTGAGCGGCTGCAGATCCGATTGACACACTCTGTGCGAACACGGCCACACGGAAGAAAGAGCATCTTTGACGGACCTGGCTCTGCAAAAGCGATCGGTGGAGGTGCCGACGCGGATGACGATGCGAGAGGTATCCAGCAGAAGCAACAGGACATCCGCAACTTCTTTATGCAAAAGTTGGGCAAGAAAATGGCAAAGTCATGACATAATGTTGGGGATCTTACTTAGGGGCGTTCCTGGCAAGCGTGTTTTGTTTTTCTTTCCCTTTTTGGGTGTTTTTTTTTATATTCTTAAATGGGAAGCATATGACACTTGGCCTTTTCTGGTGCTTATTTTATGAAGATGATGCCCTGGCACTGGCGTCGGTTCGTATACACGAGAAGCAAATAAAATCTAGATGTGTAACGTGTTGTGTAGAGCGCCGCTGCAAATTAAGCAGACAATGCAGAAAGTCCAGACTCGATCTCGTTCCTATACTCTTGGAAGGCAGGAGAACCGACTCCTGTGACTTCCTCTCGGGGTGTCTAAGCCGCCAGATAATAGAAGTATATGCGAAGTACAGAAAAAAAAGACAACAAGCCAAAATGTAATATGCAACAAAACCCAAGAAAACGATGAAAATGTCATCTCGCTCCCACTCTCACACGCCTCTAGTCATAGAACTTGCGGTTGACGTTCTTGCCAAACAGCGTCTCCCGCACCACAGGCAGCGCATTGTGCTCGACCAGAGCCAGCCGCGCCTCGAGCGTGTTGTCAATCGTAATCTTGCCGTTGCCGCCCACAATGATCACACCGCCCGCACTGCTCGCCGGAAGCTCGTTCTCCGTGTCCAGCACAAGCTCGACCGCATCGCCCGTCTCCTTCTTGTACTCCTTGGCTGCCGCTGCCAGAGCATCCTTGGCGGCCGCCGCGTCGGCCTTGCGTGCGCGGATCTGCAGCTTGGGCTCCTGCATCGCGTAGGCGCCCTCCAGCACCAGCTTCGTGAGCATCTCCTTGTACTTGGCGGGCGACGACGAGGCCTCCGAGGCCAGCTTCTTGCGCGCAGCTTCAAAGAGATCGTCGAGCAGCTCCTGGCGGGCCGTTAGGACCTGCAGGCGGGTCTTGTTGGCGACGGTGGACCGGGTGATCTGCTGGGACATGGTGGCCTGCTTGAACTTCTTCTCGTACGCGGCGTCGATGGCGTCGGTCTCCTGGCGGACAAGCTTGGACTTTTCAATGGCAAACTCTTCGTTGGCCTTGGTCTCGATCTCGTGGGCCTTCTCAGTCGCCTCCTGCCTGATGAACGCCGTCATCTTGCGGAGCTCTTGACCAACCTGGGAACGAAAGGGAACAATGTGTTAGATCAACGAGGGCCAACGGGCAACGGCCGGCCGGACTGCAATGGCGATAGAGGAGCGGAACGCATACCTGGTCATCGGATAGGGCGTGAATCTGCGACATCTCGAAGGCTGTGGTTCCGGCAGAAGCTCGCGGATCACGGTGCGGGTTTTTCAGAGGGCGATTGCGTCGTCGGAAGAATCGTGATTCGGAGCTCGCTACAGACGCTTTTAACGTGGGTGCGATAGCTCAGGTGTGATGGGCAGGTGTAGATCAATAGCTGGAGAGCAACGGCACTCAATCGGGGTCGGGGGAGGAGGTGATTGTGGTGATGGCAGTTGTATGTTGGCTCGGCTTTGTCCAGTAGTCGTTATCAAATGGCGCTGTGCTGGATGGTGAATCTCCCCGCTAAAAGGTGACCCGCCCAGCAACACCAATTATCAGGAGCATTTCGTACAGCTACTGCATCTTTGGAAAGGCTCCCTACACTATTCCGTATAGTTACAGGGGAGCTGGCAAGCTATGACCAAACCGTCCAGCACCAAAGCCTCAGAAACGACATCACGTGACCATAACAGCCACTCCGACGCCACAGCGGCCCACACAGTTTAGTGTCTGCTTCCCTCTGAGAAACGGTGCCTGCCTGTTTCGGGCGGGTCTGCTTTTTGCCCACGCATATCTCACGGACTGCGAAGTACTGTATCGCTGTTAGTTCGTGTTCCGAGGCCTGGCCAGGTTTACCCATATGGCCAGGTCACCTCAAGCTCCACTTTGTTTCGTCTGCGCTACTGTGTCGTCTCAGTTTCGCACCTGCTCGTGTTTACCGCTCGTCTGTCCACCATAGTGATTGGGAACGTATTTGTTGACTCAAGTCCCTTAACGCAAGTCGAGCAGCGCCTTCCTTCTTTAGGTCCTTCTTGGTTGACATTATTGAGTTTGCATGACTCTCCGTTCTCAGTCGCCCTTTCCGTTTCCAGCCACTCGCATCAGCCTCGCACTGTCGCACCTGCTTGTTGGTGCCGCCCACTATCGCTATCCGTTCCTGCCATTCCGAGCCCCTGCAGCTACTCAGTATTTGGATCACATTCCAGTCGATCTTTCCTCGTCGGCACAGACTCGCTTTGCTTACTCGTCATCTTTCTCTCTCTCTTCCTCTCTCTACTCTGCCAACTTTTCTCGCCTCTCGCCAACGTCTCCAACGCACCGCCAAACTCAACACCGCGATCCGCCAACGACAATAGTGACGACCACGAGGCCGGCTAACGTCACCGCCTCCACTGGTGTCAACAAGTCCTATACGAGAACAGTGGCATTCGGTCTCATCGCCCTGAAACCTGCCCTATTGCAACCACCAGCAACGACCACAAGCTGCACCGACATTGAGGCCTCAGCAGACCCGCCTGCGATCACCACCCTTCCTCTCTTGCTGGTCTCACGGCGCTCGACACCGCGTGCAATTCTCTCGGACGAAGCAAGAGCACCCCTGCGGCTGTTGCAGCTGACCCAGCGACCCGGACGGGAGAAGCCGCACACGGCCAAGCCTGCCCTGTCGCCCACTTTCTCGTTGGCATTGCTTCAACTCGCCAGCGGTTAAAAGCAGGCACTTGACAACAATAACAATCCACAGCCAGCCCGACCCCAGATTTCCCCAGCCGCTTTCATGGAATAGAGAGTTTCGTCAACAAAAGCACGCCGGTTCTCTTTGTTGCGCCCCTTCGCCTCTCTCTTCTCTTCTGCGACCGCCTTCACGATCCTCTCGTGATCCTCTCCTTCCTTCCTCCTCTCCAGTGCAGACCAGCTTTCTATGCCCGTCTGGCGATAACATTTCGGACGTGCGCGCGGCCTCCTTGCGCCGGATGCTTGCTGCGCACTGGACGCTGGCGCAATGGGCTCTCTCGGCCGGCTCTCCCCTGGCGGGAGCATAGCGGTAAGCATGAAGCTCGGTGGCGTGGGACTATCTCTCGCGCTCGCATGTGTAGTTTCATTGTACATTACTGACCCAGTCTCTTTCTCGCTCGCTTACAGCTAGGAATCGTGGTCGGTGTCATGTCCACGAGCGTCCAGAGCCTCGGTCTTACCCTCCAACGAAAATCCCACATCCTCGAAGATGAAAAAGACCCTCACATTGCCCGCCGGCCACCACACCGCCGACGACGATGGCAGCTCGGCATGGCCATGTTTATTGTGGCCAACCTGCTCGGAAGCTCAATCCAGATCTCCACCCTCCCGCTCCCCGTTCTCTCCACCCTCCAGGCCTCTGGCCTCGTCTTCAACTCCATCTGCGCCACCCTCATCCTTGGCGAACCCTTCACACGCTGGTCACTCTACGGCACACTGCTCGTATGTTCCGGTGCCGTCCTCATCGCCATCTTTGGCGCTATCCCTGCTCCTGCGCACGATCTGGATGAGCTGCTCGAGCTGCTTGTTCGACCAGCATTTGTTGCGTGGATGTCGCTGCAGACCGTCGTCGTCCTGTCGATAGCTGTCTCGGTCGAGGTCGCCAGCGCCCTGCTCTTTACGACGCTTGCACAAACGTCGCGTTTTCGGTTGGCAAGAGGCCTTGCTTACGGCTGCATCAGCGGCATCCTGTCAGCGCACTCGCTTCTTGTGGCCAAGTCCGCTGTCGAGCTGGTCGTTCGCACCATCACGGACGGCAACAACCAGTTCCGCCACTGGCAAGCGTGGGCACTGGTGATCGCGCTGATCACGTTGGCGCTCACGCAGCTGTACTACCTGCATCGCGGCCTCAAGCTGGTCTCTACGTCTGTGTTATACCCGCTTGTGTTCTGCATTTACAACATTATTGCGATCCTAGACGGACTGATCTATTTCCGACAAACGGACATGATTGGACCGCTTCGGGCGTGTCTGATTTCGCTCGGCACCGTCGTCCTTCTGTCAGGTGTCCTTGCCCTGTCTTGGCGCCTCAGCGACGAACAGCACCCTCCTGCTGTGGGCCAGTCCACCCTCGCACCTGGGCTTGGCCTCGTCGAGGACACGGAGGGTGAGGAGGATGAAGAAACCCTTCTTCTTGGCCGCGACTTAGTGACTGCCGACGACGATGACGTGGAGAGAAATACAGACGGCAATGGCGTCGGCGAGAGACGCAGCTTGCTTGGAAAGTCCAAGTTTGTTTCATCTTACCAGACTTTTGGGTTCGGTACCCTCGAAAACGGCGACTCGCCCACAAGACCAGAGGTTGAGTCGCCCGCGACACATCCCACGTCACCTAAGCTCGGTCGTAGGCAGACAGCGGCCGGCATCTTTGGCGGCACGGCCGGAGGCACAACACCAGGCCTCCACACACCATCTCGCTGGACCGAGCGGGCCGAGATCTGGGACGAACTGGAGGACCAGAACGACCGCCGACCCAGCTCGGGTGGGTCGGGTATGAAGCGCCATCGCAGCAGTACCCTGCCAGTTCTTATCAGCGAACAGCCACCACACACTCCCACCAATACATCACATTCGCCACTTTCTCCGTTCTCGGCCGCTCGTAGAGGGGTGAGCAGCGGCTCGCCATCGTTTCTGCGAAGCACCAATGCAGGGTCTGCCGCGGACGGTCATGGGCGGGAGGTCACGGACCAAGACGCTGACGCAGAAGCGCTCGCCGCGTACCGTAGGTCGTTCCGGCGGCGAAGGAAGACGATGGGTTTCCCTGGTTTCCATGCACGACGCGGCAGCCGCCGAAGCCTTAGTGGTAGTTTCAGTGTGGGCGCTGCAGGTGGCAACAGTAGCAATGCGAACACGCCCGGTACCGGTGAGACGCGCAGCGCCCGCGGTGTACAGAACGCACTGGGTGGTCTGTGGCGGATGGGCTGGTGGAACAACGAAAGTGGCGGCGGCGTTGGTGACGCGGCCCGGTTGGACAGACCCCCAACACAAGAGACTGTGTCGTCGCCCATTCGGCCGCACCACCGAACAGCCGACGACGAGCATGGCCGACCGTCGACGCCCCCGGGCCACACCGACTACGGTGATGAACAAGGCGACGCGGACATGGTGTAGACGGCACTTTTTGCGTTTCTTCTTTTTTCCTATGTCACTGTTGTATACCGGAGCCTTTAGGGTTGCTTTTGTCTTTTACGTTCTATGGTACTCTGTATGTAGCCTGAATAGAATACACATTTTTTGTGTTTGCATACGACTCATCATCCAGTTGCAATTACTAGCATCGATATCGTTCTTTCGTACTCTTTTATGATTATCGTTTTCGTTCGCTAGATTCAAGCAGATACGGATGCTCGCCAGCCGCGAGATATTTGCTTGTTTTATTAGCTCATTCGTTCCACAATTTTTTTTGTTACATCAATCCCATATTCCCGACACATCATGTACCTCACTGGCGATTTTTGGGTTTGATTATTTTTCTTTTATGTCGTATGTATTTATGGGTTTGTATGTTCAAGTCATGTCTGTCTGCAGGACCTCCACGGGAAGCCTGACCACTTGTCAAAATGAAGGAAAAAGGAAATAAAAGCGAGGCGCTGTAGAAATAATGACAGAATAATCTAGTCGACTCTGACTGTAATTGAAGAAACAAAAATCATATAAGCCCTGCTGGATGTGAAAAAAGTACAAATAACCGAGGGCCTATAATGTGTATCAGCAGGCAGAGAATATGTGCGAAGAGAAAGGAATTGAGAAACGGAAAATGTGACGGAATAAGACAGAAAGAAAAAGAGCTGTCATTTTCTCCCCCATAACATCTAGTAACCCTCGTCGACCCCGATTTTGATTGCCGTAATCATAACCGACGGTCAATCTTAGAATCTCCGCGTAGCGCCCATCTTCTCGTCAATGTACCGGAAGCGCTCACGCTCCTTGCGGTCCTTGAGCAGGCAGCTCGTGGCCAGGATCAGCAGGCCACCCACGCCAGACATGCCAAAGACGCCCGTGAAGATATCGTCGACAAAGACGTTGGAGAAGCTGCTGATAGGCCCTGCGCAGCCACGGACGAGGGCGGCAGCCGCAGGACTGGTGCAAGTGCTGTCGGTGACAAAGGCGGGCGAGGTGCTGTTTAAATAGCCGCAGCAGGCAAAAGCAGTCTGCATGAGATCCTGCGTCTGAGAGTTCTGGGCGATCCAGAGGGTGCCGAACTGCTCCTTGAGACTCAATGTAAGAATCCAGAGGTCGAGGCCGATGATGAGGCTGAAGAGGGATGTGACGAGCACCATGTAGCCCGAGATTTTGAGCCAGCCGCGGGTGGGCATGGCCATAGCGGGGATGGTGAAGAGGAAGGTGACGAAGTATAAGACGGCGTTGGCGATGCCGGCGGTCAGGGGAAACTTGGCGTACAGCAGGTTGATGACAACGTCGGTGCCATCGGCGGGTTGAGCATTGGCAGAGAGCTTGTTCTTGACGATGATGGAGAAGGCAAGCATGATGGCACCCATGATGACGAAGAGGACGTCGGCAACGACGTAGGTGACGAGAATTTTATTGGCCATGATGGGCGGTTTTGTTTGGTTGTTGATTGAATGAAAACCGTAAATCGATGTCGTCGAGTCGACCCTTTCACACACACTGCGTCCTAGAAGACGTGGTGGCCCCTTTCCCCCCCGAGTCTGCGTGTTGATTAAGATCGTTTCGATGCTATTGTGATGATGTTTGGATCTGTCAATACCTCCACTACTATGCAATTGAGCGTTGATGGTGGAAGACGGCCGGCCGTCGTGGTGATCGATGTTTGTCAAGGAGAGGACGCCGTTTACGGCGTGTCAAAGAAGAAGAACAAGAAGAAGAAAAAATGAGTGAGAGAAGAGAAAGACCTGCAAGGCCAGAAAAGGCGAGCCTCCTTTGGGTTCTTGGTGCAAAAGGAGGCGAACAGAAAAGATTAGAGAGAAGCAAATGGGACGCGGACCCGCGATGCACGATAAAGGCAGCCAAAAGGGGAGAAAGAGAAAGAGAGAAAAGAAGGAGAAGAAGATGGAGGGTAGGGCAACCACAAAAGAGAAAGCAAAACAGAGTAAGGAGAGGCCACACAAGAAACGAAGAGAAAATGGGACAGCCACGAATAGGATAAAAGAAGAGCCACGACGCGGGACGTTCGAGGAAGATGAAACAGGCCGCAGAGACGAGAGTCGACAAAATAGAATGATCAGAGACAGGGTAGACGACGAGAGGTGACGAAGAGAATGTTAAGCACTGCTAAAACAAATGCGAAGCAAAATAAAATAAAATAAGACCTTAACACATCCAGTGTGAGATGGCAATGTCACAGACAGCAAAGTGTGGTAGAAACGAAATGAAGGGGGGATAAGGTAAAGACCGTGGAAGAATGAGATAGGAATAAAAGGTGAAGAGAAGCAAAGCAGAAGAGAAGGAGAGGCAAATAAAAAAGATATACGACGTATGAACACAAAAATAAAAGCGAAATAAGAACGCTTGCACAGGCCCACAGTGCACACGACCATATTACCATATGCCCCAGTACCCATGTCATGGTCCAGTTTACGGAGTACATACAACCGTCCGCCAAGACTCCGTACGGCAGTCCATTTTGCACCATTGCATCCATCGCGTAGACCTGTGAGGCCATGGCCAGGCAGGCCCATAGCGAAGTCCGTGGTGAGGGCGAGATCCACTACAACGGAGAACTGTGTGTGGTCGCGAACAGGCCAAGTTTGCCTGTCCTCATCTTTCCATGAAGCGTTTGTATGCAATCCGCCTATGCCGACTGCTTCTTTTCACTGTTAGTGTGCTTGACCAACCCAGCTCTCTCTCTCCACCAGGCAGAAACATGGCAGAAACATGCACCCATGGCGCTCCAGAAGGGAACTCCTTATGGAGCAGCCAAGAGACGTGTTAGTCAAGGAGAAATGGGGTAAGGAGACAAAACGGAGACGACCATGTTCCTAGGTATTAAGTTATGTCCTGCTTCTTCTCTTTTGGCGGAGCGTCGTCTTCGTTTTAGAAAGGCGTAACGCCTTCGTCATTATCACCTATCTGTGACTTCAGCTTGCATGACAAAACTTATGTTTGCAGGGAGGAATCGAGAGGACAAGGGCAGAGGCTAGGCATTGTCGATAGGTCAAAGTTTGATCTGATGCACCAAAGGGCCAAGCATTGTCAACCCGTACGCTTTAAAATGACGACGTCGGTGGACAGTCTCGTACGACATATGGTGCATGGCGTTGTCTGGTGTTGTCTGGTGTTGTCTGGAATCGAGTTGAGTGTGGTGTTGTGGTGGATCTCCGACGACATGGCGTTTCAGGACGTTTGGGTCGAAGGGGGCTTTGTTGTCGAGTGTCGTCCACGTTTGGGGGCCACCTTCAGGGGCGAACGATGTTAACGAGGCAAGAGCTCAAAAAGGCAAGTGCGCCCCTGGCTTCTCCGACAAGCTGGGGCAGGCCCCACTAACAAGATCTTGGCTGGTTCTGTAGCAAAGTCTGTAGCGGGCATCGTGCACAATGCAACACAACCGCCACAGCATAAGCCGCATGAAACGCAAGGGGTCCCGACTGAGAAAATGAGGTAGCGGGAGCTGTGACACTGGACAAAGGAGAAGTACTCCGCAAAGAAAAAAAAAGAAATGAAAGGGCAATTGTGAGGACTATTGTGGCAAAAACTCTGAAAATATCGTGGTTGGAAGACTAACAGCTTCAATGGCTTCAACTGTTCTCGTCAACATCCCAGTTGCAAATTATTAGAGCCTTGTGAAGCTTGACTAGAATTGTGGCATCCACGGGCGGCCATGCTCATTCTTATGACATTGTGTGGGCCTGTCTTGCAGGCGAAGTCGTCTCCACCAGAAGAGCACTGACATGCGACAAGCTTTTCAGGAGTATTGTCTAGCCAGGGCTTCGTTGGGGCCAGGTCTCATACATGTCAATGTGGCTTCAGAGTGCTCGTATCTGTATGCATTCCTGCATTCTGCCTGGACCGCGACAGTCTCCCGTAGATTGGACGTCTTACGAAAGCCGATGTGTGTCCTGTTTATATCATGCGTCGTATCTTGTTTCTCGACCCCTTTAATAAAAATAGAAGCATCCCACTCATATAAATGTAATGATGGTCCATCGCTAAAGTTGGGAACATTATTACATGCAGAGTTCAGCATAACATGATTGCCAATGAACATCGGGTAAAATGGCCAATGGGCTTGAGCTTGGCGGCCGTCAAGGTCGAGTGAGCGTGCACTGTTCTTGCCATCTCCGGCAGTTCCTGACTCCTGCGCTCCTTCCCAATCGGCCTGCCCGTCATCGGCCATCGATCTGGCGTTGCGTTGGCTGACTCGCGCTGGGTTATTTGCGCCCCGCCACAATCAGCCACCGACCCAAGCGGTCTTCCTCTTCGTTAGGAGCGACTGGGAGATATCTCGTCTGATCTTTCTGCTTTCGGACCTTTCTTTCTATTACTTGCCTTGGAAGGCACAGCACATGCTGCGTTGGCTTGTTTGTCTCTTTCTTACCACCTTACTACCTCTCCACAACCGATCTACTAACGGCCTCTCGACGATGTTACTCGCCGGGTTTTTTCCCTATCCTTGATGATTTTCGCCCATTCGCGGAGCAGCTGCGCAATTGCCCCAATTGCCTCGTTCCTCGTCGTTTATTAATTCTCCCGTAGGCTCTGCAGTAGCTACCGGAAAAGAATAAGAGTGGAATAAATTGCCCCCTGAGCTCCGGCTCCCATCCTCGGGGGAGACAATGGGAGCAACGATTTATCCAGGAGCAAAGCTCATGATGTTGTACGTCGTAAAGATCTCGGGCTAGCGGCCGTAGCGCAAATCCTGAGGTAGCAAACGCAGTTGTCAACTTGTGATCACCATTGAACCGCACGTTCTTCTACAGGGCCGAGAATGGGAGCTTGAGAGCTAACAAACCCTTTTCACCTGGAGCTCGGGGTCCCACCTTCCCCGCTGGATGCGCACTAAGAGCTCGCTACAGGAGGAAGAGACGATCCAAGCCGCGAAAAGATCATCGTTCACGCCAGAGTCGCTCTTGCTGGTGTCAGCCTGCGTAATTCGTACTTGCCCTGATGGCGCATCTTCTTTATTGTTTGGCCAAAGTCACGTTCTCATCGTTTATGACTAACAGCTGCAAGAGCGCCCCAGGCTCTCAGGCCCATTGTCCCTTCCCTCTATATGCTCCGCCGCCACCGTGCTTTCCTTGTTTGTCACCGCCCGCCGAACCGGCGTTGTCGTTGACTTTCTACTGTTCTCCGTTTTGCGTGTTGCGATTTCTATCCTTTGCATCTATCTTTTCGACTCCAGCACCGCCTTCTTCTCTTCTGCATCACGTTGTTTTGGCCGCCGCAGGTTTCGCAGTCTCCCAATTCCACCTCTCAGACATCCGTCGGCGTACGGTGTTAACACAGCGCTATTTCGGAATTCCAGGAGCCACTTACGACTGCAACCACCAATTTCGCATCCTTGCCAGATCCTCGTCCACCGCAATCCTTTTTGTTGTATGTGCGACTGCTCCTACGTCGTCTTAAAAAGCCCCGACGTCACACCTGGGCCTCGCACGGCAGTGGATGGCAGGCCCCTACCACCCCGGTTTACGCCAATTATCAATTGCCCAATTGACATCGCGCCGTGGTCTCAGCCCATCTCTGCCAGCCGCCCCCCCTTTTTCCGGCGCCGCCTCATGTCGTGCTCGGTGGCCGCCGCCGGATGCTTCCTCTCGTGTCTTCGCTGAGAGAGAGTAGAGGAGCGTGAGACAGAGCGAGAAGGGATAGGCGGACAGCGGGGAATCGAGACACCACAACATATCTCCCAATATGTCGTCAACGCGACCCCAGCGTCTGCTGCGCATCTCCAAGGCCTGCGACTTCTGCCATAAACGTCGCATCAAGTGCCAGGACAACCCCGGCGATACCCGCGGTCGCTGTCGCAATTGTGCCGAGTTTGACATCCCCTGCACCTATGCGCGCCCATCCCGTCGCGGCCGGGGCTCACCACAGCCGTCCCGGCCCGCATCGGCCACGTCCTCGGGCCTCTCCATCGCCGCCAGCAGCCTCGCAGACGGCAAACCCGTGCCACACCATCCGCCATCCCACCAACCACCTCCATCACAGCCATTACCACAGCCGCATCGCCCGGCCCAGTCCGCCATGCTCTCGCCCTCCGCCCCGCGCGTTACCATGAGTGAGCGCACCACCAGCACCAGCTATGGCGCGGACGATCAGGGACCCGTTGCCAACGAGCGCCTCAGCTCCACGTGGCAAGCCTTTGCGCATACCTCGACGCCCACGCTCAAACGCCTTGTCACCGTCTACCACGAGACCGTCTTTCCCATCTTTCCCTTTTTTGACCCCGTCCGCCTGCAGCGCCGCCTTGACCAGCTCGAGCACGTCAGCAACCGCGCCTTCTTTTGTTCCGTCATGGCCGCCTGTGCGCTGGCCTCGGCACGCGCCCGCGACGGCGCCCTCTCTTCGTCGACGAGCGGCGGCGGCATCTCGGCGAGCCCAGGTAGTGCGGCAAGTGGCACATCCATTGAAATGCCCCCCGAGATGTTCTACGCGGCCGCTGAGGAGGCCCTGCCCAAGGACATCTTGCAGTGCCGCGACTTTGACTACCTGCGTGCGCTGGCCTTGCTAAGCATCGCCAGCATCCAGGACGCCAAAATCGCAGTCATGCAAAAGTACATTGGCCACTACTTTACCCTGTTGGCCATCAACCAGTGGCACGACGAGGCCAACTGGTCCCCGGGCCTGACTCCCACAGAGATCGAGGAGCGTCGCCGCCTCTACTGGTCCACGTACACCCTGGATGTTTTCACGGCGATCATCTGGGACGGCTGCATCCACTTCCAGGAGAGCCACGCCAAGGTCGAGTACCCAACAGGCGTGACGGAAGACCGCAACGGCCAGCCAACCGTACCGAATCCAGCCTCCTTGTCGAACACTGCAAATGTCGATAGTTCAACTCGGCCGACCAACGGCCCCACCGACTCCCCCTCGTCATCGTCCATGCTACCAGGTATTGTTACTGCCACGTCCCCACTGCCCGATGCGGGCTCCTGGATGATCGGCTGGAACTACACCACCGACCTCTACCGCATTCTCGAGCACAATCTCAACAAGTTGCGCTCTCGGTCCTCCAAGTTCAACCTGCTCGGCGAGACCACCACCCCCGGCTCCTTCCGCGTCTCTAGCCAGGACCGCGTCTCCGAACTGTACGCGGCTCTGCCCAACGCCTTTAAGACGCTTCAGCCCGCCACCGGCGACCCAGCCCGCGACATCTTCGGCTTCCAAGCCGCCAACATCCAGGCCACCATGGCCCTACTGGAGATGGTCCACCTGTCGCTCGAGGTCGACGTCGACGTGGAGCGCAAGTGCTCTGTCGTGCACAATGTCCTCCAGACCTTCCACCAGGTCCCCAAGGCCTACATGCGCGCAATCAGCACCCCGCTAATCTACCACATTGGCGGTATCGGCGTCATATTGGGGTCGGTTATGGAGGGTCCACTCTCAGAGAGCGCCTACCGTCTGGTGCGCGATCTGCTTTTGTCCATGGCCATGCTGCTCGAGAGTCTAGAGGCCTTTTTGCACCGTGGCGCCGGCGCCGGAGCGCGGCTGCGGTCGCTCGTTGCTCGGCTGGAGGGTTTCTACTCTGACGTACGCAACCAAATCGACAACGGCGCCAATACCAACGGGGCCACTGCCTTCACCGCACAGCCATCAAGCGAAGCCTCGGCATCGAACCTACAACGAACACAGCAGCAGCAAAAGCAAAAGGGTCAGCAACAGCAAACGATACCATCGTCTCAGCAGCAGACACAACCCCAGCTGGAGATGAACAGCTCCTTCGGACCGGAGGCCGTGTCCATTCCACAACCACTGCCTTCGGAGGCTCTTAACCAGCAAGACTACCAGCAGCCGCAGCAGCGACAGCAACAACAATACCGACCAATACAACAGCAGTTTGGCCAGCCTCGGCCCCTGTCTCCCTCAACCGGCGCCAATCCCACTGCCGCGTATGCTGCCGCGGCTTCCATGTACGATCCACAACAGCAACAGCAACAGCAACAACAGGCCGCCGGTTCGGGTACACCCAGTGGCTTGTCGCCTAGCTCGGCCGCACCTGGCACGTGGGTCGCGGCGCCTGGTGCCGCGGGTGTTGCCCCCGACGTCAACATGCAGATGCAGCTGCAGCTACCGGACGAGTTTTTGCAGGACTGGACCTGGCCCTTTGCCGTGTCCAACAACTACCTGTCCTTTTAACAAGGCACATACAAGTACTTTGGGTGGCGGCTCACAGCTTCTTGTATTTTGTATACTGACATTATTTTATCGGCGGACAGTATTGCGGAGGATGGCGTTTTGATTGTTCTTGGCTTGGTTAGTATTTGGTTCTGATTGGTTCTGATTTGATTTTTCCTGTGCTGGTAGAAAAGGAGTCCAGCTTTTGGGGGCAGGGGAATACCATTTGCATTTGTTTGTTCTAATTTCTGGATATGGAAGTTTGTACAAAAACAACCAGCGGCCCTCAAGGCCTTTTCTGTATATATCTTATTTATTTTCCTTCTCAAGTCAATGCCGAGAAAGGAATAAAACTATGAGGGCGAGCATCAAACACCACACAAAATAGCGTGGGGGGTGGAAGGAATACAAAAGCTGCCAGGCAAAGGCCAGCCAGGGCTGCAGTCGTGCTCCTAAGATCATTGCTTCTCGTGTCGTGAGGAACCAATCATGAGACTTTGTCTGCCAGTTGAGATCATCCTCAGATTGTCATTTGTGAATATACAAAGATTTAATAAGATTGAATAAATTTTAAATGCCGTGCTGATTCTAATTGTCCGTTGGATATCACGATCTCGTTCATACAACCCTCAAGCTTATGCTCATGCTGGTATACAATCAGGCCCGTTTCTCTCTTTTCTTTCTCCTTTGGCTATTCCCACTTATTGTCAAAGACCTTGCCGTCCACATAGTTGATCATCGACGTCACCGGGTCCAGCCGATCCCGGCCCGCGCCAAAGAGAAGGCCCTTGCGCATCGCCGCACGGTAGTTCTCGCCCGGGTTCACTTTGCCCAGAATATATGGCCGGCGCGTCTCCACGCGGTCCGGCACGGGAATGCTGCGGCCCACGAGTGCCTCCATGCCCTGCCATGCAAACGTCACCGCCTCTTTGGCGCCTGCGGGGATGCCGGCGTCGTCGAGCATGAACATCTTGACATGCGGAAACTGCGCCTTCATGTAATCGGTAATGTTTGGGTTGTACGCGCCGCCGCCACACATAAACACCTCGTCCACCGGCCGTTCTGTCGGCGCATACCGCCGCCAGTGGTCCACAATCGCCTGCGCCGTGATGCGTGTCACCGTCGCCACGACATCGTCGGGCGACATGCCCAGCGAAGCACCTTCGGCCACCAGGTCGTCGGCCAGCGTGTCGCGGAACACCTCGCGGCCCGTCGTCTTGGGCGGGTCCCAGCGGAAGTAGGGGATGCGTTGCTGGAAGCGGTCCACCATGCCTTGGTAGACCGTGCCCCGCTTGCCCATGGCGCCGTCCTTGTCGTACTCCTGTTCGCCGTTGGTGTAGTTGCGCACGACGCCGTCGATGAGCGCATTGCCCGGACCCGTGTCAAAATCGTAGGCATCCTGCGGCCCCGACGGCGGGATGAAGCACACATTGGCGATGCCGCCAATGTTTTGGCACGCCCGCAGCTTGCCCGGGTGGTGCAGGAGCAGGGCGTCAAAGAAGGCAATCAGGGGTGCACCCTGGCGGCCGGCAGCCTGGTCGGACACGCGGAAGTCAGTGACGGTCGTCACGCCTGTGCGCGAGGCCATAAAAGTGCCCTCTGCCATAGTGAGCGCAGAGCGCGGGACGCCCTCGTCGGGCATGCTAGCGAGCCAAATGGTCTGGCCGTGCGAGCCAATGGCATCGACGTCCTTCTTGAGGTCGACGCCATTGTCGGCGCAGAACTGGATGGCGGCGGCGGCAAAGACCTCGCCGAGCAGCACGTTGACCTCGGACAGCTCCGAGGCGGAGGTCTTGTCGTACTTGATGATGTCTAGCACACGCTTCTTGAGCTCGGCGTCCAGCGGCACCTCGCCGTACTTGAGCAGAGAGAAGTGCATGGGCGATTCGGGCGTCTCTTGGCGGAAGTGGCATAGAGCACAGTCAATGCCGTCCATGGAAGTGCCACTGTTCATGCCCAGCACCTTCACATCCAGCGGCTGGCTGCCCGTAGCCGAAGCCGAGTCGGACATTCTTGCCAGCAAAGCCAAGAAGGCGAAATTGGGCAAATAGAAAGAAATAAGTAAAAAAAATGTAGCCCAAAAACAGACGGCAATGTGCGACAGTTGAATAAGGCACACAAAGAAGTCTGCTTTTTAGACTCCCGAAAGGTGATAAAAGAAACGAGTGACGGTGTGCGAGGGCACCTGATGATTGATATATGAACGGGAAGTGTATGGGTCGAGAAGAATGAAAAGGCAGGGTGGGACGCAACACGATATTAAAAGACGGCGACGACAAAAAAATAAGACGAGAAAGGGAAGCGAAGAATCACGGATGTTGTAGATTATCTCTGCAGGGGGGGTACAACAAGGAAGATATCGTCCACTTGAAGAAGGAACGATAGGTAAATACGGGGACTATGGAAGGAAATAAAAATAAAAGAGGATCCGTAGGCTTTATGCCAGGTTTGCTCTTGCCCACGCTGTTTCCGTCGGCCAGCACGGCTCCCGTGTCGCTGTTTTTCTAGATGCCGTACCAATCCCCACTAAGACAATGGCGTTCTCCGCAAAGGTCAAGAAGGCAAGGGGCCGGGGAAGGAGAGACCGGTCGTGGGTTGTCTCAAAAGGGCGAAGGAGCGAGCTCGTACTGTACGAGCAAGAGCCAGTAGCGAACATAAGACGATAAAAGCAGGACAAAAGAAAAAGCAGAGGACAAACGGCAATGCGGAGAAGGAAAGGGCTCCGCAACGGAAGTAGCGACCGGCAAAGGCAACACGGGCGGCCGCGGGAAAACGTCTCTTTGGCGACTGTCTATTTTGTGATTTGGCCACGCGACAAGGACCTGGGCCGGGCCATTGTTCTTCAGTACGAGCCAACGATTCACATACAGAAACCGGTGTCGGGAAATAACCACGGAAGAACGGTTCGCCCCATACACTTTGGAGCCCTTGTTAAGGTTTCCTTTTGTTCGGGTGCAGAACTGCGGCTATTTCGGCCAATCGTATCCTGGCATCGACCAAAGAGCAGTGGATGTTACTCCGCAAAGATATTCAAAATAATCGAAATAAGAAACAACAACCCCGGCGAGTGCCGTATTGAAGGGAGCGTGTAGGCAATTCGGAAGGTGTGAGGCGTCATTATCCTTGTACAAAAGTACGAGGCATGACATAAGAGCCGTCAAAAATGAAAGAGTAACGAGTAAAAACCAAAACGCGACGGGCGAAAGAAGCCCTCGGACCCGGGAGGCACAAGATCACAAAAGCCAGAAACTCTGGGTTCTTCCATATTCTTCTTTATTTTCTAGGGTGGATATGACGGAATGCCCAGAATAGAGTCGTGCTCACCAGCCAGACTAATCGAGGATCGCATGGCAAAGGCTCATGCAAATCAGGAGAAGACACAAGTACGGGAGAAACACAATATCATTGTGCATAACCGAGATCATGGGTCTAATTGATTGTTGACCCAAGGTGCTGGGTTGCAAAGAATAAAAGACGGTTAAGCGGCCAAACGTCTACACGCCTAAAAGGCTAAACGCTTAAGAGGCTATGAGAAGGACTCTCTTTGATGTCGGCCTCTGAGGTCACAGAGTAAACAACCGCCCATCCTCGCGCCCTCAATAGGCATTTGGCATTGCTTGCTTTCCGTGACTGCGGCTAAGCGGTTATCTGAATTGTGCGGTAGCCTTGCGGGATGCTGAGTGCCGCATGATGCAGCCTTCCCTACGGATTCCAGGAACGCCATGCAAATGCAGCGGGGACCGGCATTTGCGGTCCACTTTTACCAGCTCTTGCCCCGGGAGATGATCTGTCAGAAGCCGCCGCCCGTCAACGACATACCTTAGCTTGCCTGCATGCATGGAGCTCGAATGTATCTGTTTTGTGGCAAGTATGCCAGATATTCTGCTGGCGCAATGTCATTCTTGACGCTTGTCAATCGCCGTTGAGGGGTGTAATTTTGTTGATCGTTGCTTTCTGGAAGTTCGTCTCGGCCAAAACCCACCATTTTTGTTTAAAATTTGCGCCTTAACAGCTCCTTCCGCGCCAAAGAGCCTTCGTTCTTGCCAACCTCGTACATCAAATTCAGTTCTTCCTGTAAAAAATTGTAGTTCTGGAACGGGCAAGAGAAGGCGCAACGTGGTGGCGAAACAAGAAAATGGGGAGTGACCGCTGAGCACGAGGAAGGAGCTATGGGATAGCAAATCCGGGGGATAGGAAAGGCCAAGGGGCGATAGCGCTCGCGCTCTTATTTCTCGCTACGTTAGGCCCCTTTATGGAGTGTCGACTTTCTTCGTCACTGGTGGGGCGCAAGGCTACTGTTCCCTCCCCTGGCGCGCACATCACCTCCGCGTTTTTTCTCTGCACCTCCCTCAGCATTTGCCCTCCTCCGCCATCATCCGCCTCCGTCTGCCATACATCCGGGCAACCTCCGCCATCCCACATCCTCCACAGTCCGGGGGACTTCACCAACTGCTGCAAGCGGTGCCACATGGGTTTGGCACTAGACTCTGAGGGACTCGCTCCATGACCGGCAGTGATGTGACTCGTTCCTGTGGCCAGCCGTCCACCAACACTATCGACCCAGACATTCATTTCTTCTTACGCAACTGAAAGCAGAAACGAAAACGAAAAGAAGGCCCCTTATTTACGTCAGGATCCCGCTTTGTCTCTTTTCCTTCTCTCGTCTGTTTTCTACTATTTCCACCCATCCGGAACCCGCCCTCAACCTTGTAACCTGTTTTTTTTTCACCCTCCATTTCCTTTCCTATAATTTGCGTTTATCTTGCTGGGAGTGCTCCAGCCTCATCCGGCCTCTGGCCATCACTCTCAGAAGCCCTCTCTTGCCTCTACCCTTGTCTCGTCTTGCTTCCCGCGACCCCCCGAGCCTCTTCCCTGAATTGCAGTGTCTACGGGGTGCGCGTTGCAGGGGCCTAACTGTCACGTTCTATTAGACGCGCAGAGCTTGGTTCGCTGGCCATATTCGGCGAGGACTAACCGATGCAAGCACTGATATTCGTCGGAGACATATAAAACAGACGTCTGCCATCCCCCCTCATCTCATGCCCTTCTTCCCTCGTCACTTTCCTCCCAAACGCACATTATTATCTCCCTCCTTCATTCGTCTCTCCTTCCTTCATACGTTGTTCCTCCCCTAACGTGGCCATCATGGGCTACATCACTATTTGGAAGAGGTTGTCGCCTCGCCAGCTCAGCATTTCCATCCAGGTATTCTCTCTGATCAGCATCTTCTTCGAGGGCTACGATCAGGGCGTGATGGGTGGTGTCAACTCGGCGCCTCGCTATGTACAGGAGGTTGGCATTGGTCTGCCTGACGGTACCATCACAAATACTGTGCACGAGGGTGGCATCGTCTCCGTGTACTACCTGGGCTGCATTTTCGGCTGCTTTGCCGGTGGCTGGGCTGCCGACCGCATAGGGCGTATCAACGGTCTCTTCATTGCCGCGATGTTTGCGCTCGTGGGTGGCGCCCTGCAGGCTGCCACACAGTCCAGTGACTTTATGATCGTCGCGCGCGTAATCACGGGCATCGGCACAGGCGCTCTTACCGGCATCACCCCCGTGCTTGTGTCAGAGGTCTCCACAGCCAAACACCGTGGCGGTTTCCTGGGCTACGTCTTCATCGCAAACTACCTGGGCATCTCGCTCGCGTACTGGATTTCCTTTGGCCTTGCCTTTGTCGACAATGGCTATTCGGACGTTCGCTGGCGCTTTCTGCTGGCCTTCCAGACGCTGCCCGCCCTGTTGTTGCTGGCCGGCATCAAGATGCTGCCTGATAGTCCCCGTTACCTGGCCTCTGTTGGCCGCACCGACGAGGCTCGCGAGGTCCTGACGCAGCTGCGCGGCGGCTTCGGCGAGGAGGTCCACCACGAGTTCCTCGAAATCGTGGCGGTCGCCAAGGGCAGCCAGAAGAGCTCGCCCATCCAGTTTGCCAAGATTCTCGCCGGCTGCGGTGGCAAGCCCTGCCACCGCCTCGGCCGCCGCGCCTGGCTGTGCCTGTGGCTGCAGATCATGGCCTCGTGGACTGGCATTACGGCCGTCACGGCCTACTCGCCGACGCTTCTCAAGCAGGCCGGCTACACGGATCTGACGCAGAACGGTCTGGCCGGCGGTATCAACACGATTGGCATTATTGGTACCATCATCAGCGCTCAGATTGTTGACCGCCTGGGTCGCCGCCGCTGCCTCATTGGTGGCGCCTTCGGCCTCTTTGCTGTTAACCTGATCGCCGCCAGCGTCTACGAGGGCGCTCGCCATAACCCGACCAAGGTGGCCCAGTACGCGCCAGCTGCTGTGACAATGCTGTTCCTCTTCAACCTCTTTTATGCAGCTACCTGGGGCACCGTGGCGTTCCTGATCCCTACTGAGATCTGGTCGTCCGACATGCGCGCTCAGGGCAACGGATTTGGCATCACGGGCTGGGCCATTGGTGTCGGTTGGACCACTCTCGTCAACCCAATCATGTTCGCCCAGCTGGAGAGCCGGACCTACTATTTGTTTGCCGGTCTCAACCTACTTTGGATGCCAATTGTCTATCTCTGTATGTTGTTTCCCCCCTCTTTTTTTTCATGCGGCTCGCTTTGCTATGTTTTGTCGTTCGTCTTGCTAACCGCCACACACAGTTTATCCGGAAACCGCCGACCGCTCGCTCGAATCCATCGACGCCCTTTTCTCCACAAGCAGCCCCTTCAACTGGAACATGGAGAAGGCCTACCAGCAGCACGGTGACGTCCTCGCCGAGCATCCTATCTCAGATCCTTCACTTGAGTCGGCATTGTCCGGCCGCGAGCAGGACAAACCTGTCAACGTGGCGCATGTCTAAACAGCAGCCAGTTTCGCTCAATCCCTCCTTTTCGGAGAGAACGAATGCCATATTATCATTCCTGGACAGCTAAAAAAAATCTATGGCGACGATCAACGATACCCCATTTCCTCTTTGTTGCCACCTTCTAAACTGGTATGCGCAGGCTTCCTGATAGATTTCTATGCCCTCGCCATCGTTATCTGATGGTTCTTAATAGTTTACATATTCTTTTAACTACATCATGTAAATAATTTCTTCGTTGCTACAGTCTTATATGAGAACACTGACCACATCATATCAAACTAGTGAGGCGTTGTTGTGAACGTGTATAGGCGGTATCATGATATTTACTTCGATATATATATCACTGCCCGTATCATGGCACCTCGCGTGCATATCGAGGAAAGATGCCTCATGTAAATGAGAAAGTAAAAGTCGTACGGCGTAAACATTGCATTGTTCATCTACACAAGGCTTCTGCACGTGACAATTGGACCGCCACCCCCTGCAACAGTTGCTTTTTGGTTTTTTAGTCCGTTCTACCTTCCCTTTTCGGTGACGATCTGATACTGTCCGTCAACCCCCGGTAGATGCAGGAGGGGCGATTGCTTTTTTTGGGATCATATCTCGATTTTCCCGCCCGTTTTCTCTATTCCTGTACGGGATAGTCACGTGTGGAGTACGTCTAAATGTTTCATGTACGATGCCCAGTTAGGCAAGTATGTCAAAAGGCCAAGGCGAGGAAATGTCGAAATAGGGATCAGGTTGAGGCCTCTGTCCAACATTGACCCTTACGCCAGGGCATCTTATCCCATACTTATAGTCTTTCTTTGCACTTCTTTCTTTTTTCATGACGGTGGTCGTGTGATTCAGAACACGCATGTATTGATGTCCTGCCCGGTCTGTCGTCGTTATCGTGGCCGGACACTGACGTAGTACAGATCGTATTCGCCTGTCTTGGCTCCTATATGGCCTCGACCTGGATAGAAACAACACGTCGTGTGTCGCCATTCTGCCTATTCATGATCGATCGACGGCTTTCGCGTTTCTTGTCTCGCGCCTGGCCGCCCGGTGCTTGCCACGATCCGCCGGAAAAAGAGAACGACAAGCGCCCTGCACGGGGTTACTGAAACACTCTTCGTCGGCATCGCAGACTTTATGTGACGAGAGCGAACTTCTTCGGAGAGGACAAATCCTGCGTTTCGAGAAGTCCACGTCGTCGGCCAAATCGACAATGTCAACAATGCCAACAGCGTAGAGGCGCCGCTCTGGCATGCGGAACGCGAGGTGACTACAGCCTCTCTGTTCACACAAACGGGCGACGCCACCATCGCCTCAAGTATCTGTAGTTCCAATACCTTGTCCACAGCGCAACAAAAACAGCAGACGGCAGCACATGGTAGCAGCCAGTAGCTGAATAGAGTTTCCAGAGACAGCCACCATTGATAGGCAAAGCAGCACATGGCAAGATGCTTTTTGGCATATTGATCCACGTCTTCCAACTGTTGTGTACTACCTTCTTTAGTTCGTCTCTTCGTCTCTCTGGCCACCTTTTCGTCCTCCCTTTCAGCCTCACCAACATGTCCTCCCGCTCTCTACGGAGTGCCTGTGTATCCCATCTTCACCCCTAGTTTGCGAGGCTGTTGGAACTTGCTGTATAGCGGTTCTCTTGGCTTTCAACGGGGTTGCTCTTTCCTTTTCTATCGCTGCTTCCGGGCTCTTGCCATCGAGGCTATCGTTTGCTTTTGCTGCTAAGGAGATGATCGCATATTGCTCCTGCCTTCGTTACTGAGGCTCCTCGGGGCGCAACTTCCAACAAAAAAGACCCCAAGACAGGAAGTCGAAGTCGATGTACCTTGCACGTATGTCTGTACCTTCATCGCCACCTGCAGTACAGTACATACGACACTAGCTATGTGAGTGGTGTGGTTGTGGACCAGCCCAGAGTCCGCCCTGTAGCCTACGGAAACAAAAAGAAATTAATTCTCCGTAGTCCTATCCACACGTTTCTTTAATCTTTCATTCTTGCTTGCCGAATCCAAGGAAAATGAGAGGACAGTCGAAAACACAAGTAAAGACACGCAGCGTATCGTTTTCGTGTTTCCCTCGTTCTTTCCTTTTAGGGCAATTTAAGTTTTTGTTAGTGGTTTGTAGCGCTTCTGTATGACAACTGGCTCTTTCCCTCCCTTTACCTGCACGACCCTTTCTCTCATTGTCTTGCCCAGCTCTTTCCCGCCATTCTCCACACACACACTTTTTGGTACCTGCCTCCAGAGCAGACATGGCTTCTAGGTGTCTGTTGTTCTTCCCATGAGTTGTCCAGTCTCGTTCACGGGACCTGCTCCTTTCTAGCGCAGCTGTGCCCCCAAAAGACGGACTCCACTCGCTCTCTAGTGGAAGTAGTAAAGAAACGAAAAACCAGAAAGAAAGAATGAAAGAAAAGAAAAATCGCAAAGAGTCGCATGAGAGCGGCCAACAAGGAAAACAAATGGCTGCCACTTTGCCTTTATTTCTACTTTTGTCTCGTATTCTTCTTATCCAAGTGCAAAGCGGTTCAGATGCAAAGCCTTTCCTATCCTGGGCTACAAACCCAACGTTTCTTCCCGCTCTCGACCTTTCTTCATCGAGTGAAGGCCGCGCTTAAGCAGGACAAAGGCCAGCTGGCGGGAAACGGGAAATAACAAATGTAGAAAGAGCCCAGTGCAGAAAAAGCCAAGCTGCCCCGGAGACGTACTGCGTGCTTTTTCTCTAGTAGTATGGGGGAGTAAAAACGCAACAAAAGATCTGAGCATAAAGGGACCCCCCTGTGCCTCGAAGGTGACGGAGCACTGCAGGACTGGGGGTCGCGCTTGCCGTATCGAAACGCGTCTACCAAAATGTACGGAGAACGTGCTGACGGAAGGTGCTTTTTTGGTCAACAAGAAGGAAAGGAACGACCAACATTTCATCCAGCTGTTTCTACGGTATTCGTAAGTCCGGCAGAAGCAATCAGATCCATTTTGGCGGGTGAGTAAACTTAGCTAAAAGAGCAGACGAATGCCGTTCCGAATAATCCCCCAGGATGCCCTGCCGCCAACAAGCAAGACTGAAAGCGAAGAACGGCGGTAGGAGAGCAGGAAATAGAGCGGCATTGGCGGTTGATAACGGCTCTAAGGCAAGATTGCCACTTGGGTTTGGTGATGGTGCATACCCTAATCTTTAGGGGCATACAGGGGGGAATGGAGGTGTGGCAGTAAGGGTGGGGTTATTTTGGTATATCGCCAGGGAAAGAGCACGAGGACGCCCGGTCGGCGAGACATGCGTGATTTTCCTATTTCGGCCCTGAGCCTCGGCGACAGCACTGCACTTTGGCTTCCTTTTCGACCCGTTCTAGGTCATTTTGCGATTTTGGGGGCATTTTTCGTGCTCCCGCGTGCCCCTCCTCTGTACCTCATAATTCGGTGTCTGATTCGGCTGTATCTGAGCCCCCATTTGCCTGCCGATGGAACAAGCCATTTCTTTTTCGTTCTTGTCTTCTCTTTGATTGGTGTCGTGTATTGCCGTCCACTCCTCACTTACTCATAACACACCCACTGCGAGTTGGCCGCTTCCATGCCCTCGCCTGCCGTATTTTCCTTTTGGCACTTTCTTGACCGACCAGCTATCTCAGAATACCACCATCCTTTAATATACACACAACCTGCCTCATCGTGCGTCTTGCGTTTGGTCTGGTTGGGTCGCGTTCTTGGGTCACAGTGTTGGGTTTGCCGCAGCACGCGTACGTAGGAGGTGTAAGATAGCGTGCGTGATTCGATGGGTTTTTTTTTGTCGGTGTTTTGTCCCTGGTCCTCCGCTCTGTACCGTAATCACCCTTTTTATATATAGCACAATCCTCTCTCTCGCCCTCGTGGACTCATCTCTTGTCCCCTATTCCAACAGCACCACCTTAAAAGTCCCGTGTGTCACACTTGTCATTTGACCGACGAAAGAGGTATTTGTAAAAGACCTGGCCAACATGGGCTCCGTACGACGTAAGACTACAAAAGCATCATCGTGGCAAAAATGTTAAAGCTTTGTGAAAGAGGCCTTGTGGAGCAGGTGCAAGGACCAGCATCCCCGTAATCCGGTGCACAGGGCACACTGACGCATCGTATGGGTTATTACCAGCCCAAAGCAACTTGCAGCTGAACCCAGCACCACGAAACCTTCCCTTCTTTGAATTTACGTTGGTATGGTGGCTGGTTATGGTGGTGGTCCAGGCTTGTCTCTTCTCTCGGCTCGGTGCAACGCTATTCGTTTTTCCTTTTCCTCTTTTCTCTCATTTTTTTTTTGGTCTGCTCCCCCACTCACCCCTGATTTCCTTGACGCCCATCATGGTGTTGAGATCCTCGCTTGAATGGACCCATCATGGGCTATTCCGTCTTGCCCGTTCACCCCTTTCCCTTCAGAGCAAAGGCCCAAAAAGTAAGAAGAATATACTTCGTACATTCACAGATGCGCCATGAGAAAGAGGGCTAGCGCACGTTGACGAACAACGAGAGAGCATGCATGACAACATACACAGAAAGAGCCTCCCAGCCTTTGAAGATGGAAGAAAAAAGCAAGACACTTCAAGCATGAACACAAGACAATACAAGACAAAACAAAGATAGAAGGAGGCAACAACATGGTAAATCGAAGCAACAACAGACCGAAGAAACCCGACAAATAAAGCAAGAGAAACGAAAAGCAGCGTGTCTCAGTCCAGTTGCCCACTGACCCCTCTTGCTTCGAGGTCCCGGGCTACTTTTAAATAGTGATGTTTTCTTCTCGTCGTCTCCTTGTTTTCATCATACACACGAGTCTGCTTTGTGTGCAGCAGCTAGACTCCCCGCCCCTTTACAAGCAAGACATAGGTAGCTATCGCTTCGACAAAATGATACAAAAGAAAGTCTATCACAGCCTACACCTTGAGAATACATACGTTAGACTCCGTACCCATGACAGACTCTTTCCCTGCCGCACGCGAAGAACAGGGAGGCCTGGCCAGCACGGATCAC